CTTGATTTCTCTCTTTTTTTTCTTTTCACTTTTGCTAAGTCTGCGACGTTTTGCCAAAGTCACGCTGAAAATAAATTATAAAAATGTCCGCGGAAAATTATGTTTTCCGAGGGCGAGTGGAAAAGGCGAATTTGATTCCTTCGCCGGTCAAGCGCCACTCGTTATAAATGATCGCAATTGAAAGTTTAACCCCACCCAGGGCTAGTTGAAAAATTGACATTATTTCTGTTGGCAACAAACAGTCAGCGAACGATAAATAAGAGGCAACTTAAGTCGAGTATTTATTTTTCGGGCATCCTTTGATAAATGACTTTGACCTGGCCAATGTGCAAGCGGAAAAGGTTGAAAGAGGGCGGCGGGGGGTGGCTGACCGCACATGGGCGTGGCAGCCACGCCCCCAATGACTTTTCTCATTAAGCCTGGCCAAGGCGAACGTGGTGGTCGAAAAGAAATCAAACTAAACTTTTGCACAAAATTCTTGGGTCGCCGGCCCCGAGGGACGAGAACATGTGTAAAGCGTCGAGCGGTTAAAGCTAAACAAACAATTGCCAAATGCAATCGAGTTGGTTTTTGGCCCCCTGGGGGACGGGGAGATGGTCGAAAGTTCGGGTGGGTCTTTGTGGGGACGGAAGGCTAGGAAAGCTAGGTGGCCAGGATTGGACGAAAAAGCAGTCGGGAACAGTTGCATGTTGGCAAATGGCAGGAAGAAGTTTGCCAACCGCATGCTTCAACTTCAATTTGCTGGAAGGATTGTTACGGGGAACTGGGATCGCTGCTTACAGCTTGACTCGTATTTCATTACTCGAACTGGTATTAAGTGGCAAACTTTTGTATTTAACAACTTTTAGCAGCCGCGCAGCAAAAATGAAGAAGATGAACCGTCCAAAGTTTTCCAGTGCAAAAACAACGGAAAACAAAAAACCAAAACGTAGAACGAAAAACAAAAAGTAACTTGCAGTCACTTGACTTAACTGCAATTCCCTCGTAATGCACTTATCAAAATATCGGGAATCGAGAACTTGAAGTCTCAAGAAATATGTTGTTTCATTGCCCCCTGTTTTAGAAAAATAGTTGCCTTACCTATTAAATAAAAGAACTATTAAAACGAAGAATGTTTACATACTCTGGTACTCTGGTCATCAAATAGAAACATTTATGGTACTTTTTTTTGAGTGCATCAATGAGAAGAAAAGCAATGTAAATGAACAAAGACAGTCGACCAGCTTGGCCCGGAAAAGCCAATTGGCAAGAACATATGGCCGAGGAGAGGTGGCAGTTAAGAGCTCTAAAGATTGCCGAAATTGGGACAACACTTTGCACTTTGAAATCCCGCGAAAGTTGCATCCCCAGCCCGGGAAATCTGTCAAATGAAAGTTTGATTGGCACACCCCCAGCTCTCCGAAGTTGGGGGAACTGACTTTGCCGGTGCATTAATTAGCAAATGCAGCGAACTGAGGAAACTTTCGAGCACTGCCATGAAATGCATGCAACTTTGTGGCACCCCACGCACAAACTCATCTGAAGTGGTGCATAAATTGAGTGGCATCGTGCGCATATATGCAACAATGTACTGTAATTTCCACGGCATTTTCCATAATTAGCCCTGCCACTGCCATTTCTGCTGCTGCTGCCGCTGCTGCCCATCAACACGATAATCAGCCTTCGTGAAAGACCACTCCTTGAAGCCAGGTCAAGCAAGGTAGCGAAAAACTTTCGTTTTTCATACATACGTTCTGCGTCAGCAAAGGGCGGAAAAACGGCTTTCAACAACTCTCGACCAGCCACCCACCATTCTGTTGGCCGGCGGCCAATGTCGGGGCTGCACTTTGGCTAAATTACATTTTCAATTTGTCAGCTGGCGGGCCACTGCAGGCCATTAAATGGCAAATTAAGTTCAGCTCCGGCCTTTATTTTATTTGCCATCCTGGCGCGAATGCAATTTTTGCATTTTTCCCCCCATCTCCATGGCAAATGTGTTTTTGATATGCGTTTCATTGTCTGACGATCTTGGCGCATTATCGTAGCAGATTTTCGGCTCTGGCCATCAGGACGGAATATGCTGAATATTTCATGAGTGTCATAAATTTCTCCACCGAGAAAGAGAGAGAGAGAGATGGAGAAGAGCGTGCAGGAAGTTAAGTCAAGCGCTTACGCGGGCTTCAGTTTTGCCGGCTTTTTATTTTTAATAACTTTCCATTGTGGCTGTCAGTGGCAGGCAACACCAACACACGTGCCTCTCCTTGCCGGGACTCAGGACATGTCAGCAAGTCGTTGTTGCTTTTGTCGCGCCTTCAAGCTGCTTTATAATTTATGGTCCTTGGCATCGAAGACTCCTTTAAGCACACACACAAACACATACTGAGACAGACACACTACGCCCACACACATGTCGCCAACTTTTGTATAATTTTTCAAAAAACTGCATGAATATTAACTGCAAGTGGCAGAATATGGCGGCAGCATCCTGCCACCGAAATCCTGCGCCCATCTTGGCTGCCACTTTTATTATGTGCGCCGGGCAAAAGTTCCAAGTGCCGGCTTGATCCGGAAGGGGCGGCGGCCACGCCCTACTAACTTATGCATACGTGTAGCTTAGTCTCCCCCATTCCCTCCCCGAACCACCTTCTGTGGTCCCTTTTTTCGGAAAGGATTTTACATACATATTTGATGCAAATGTTCGCAAATTGTCGTCGCTGTCTATTGGACATTTTGTGGCCACATTCGTTTTGCTCGCATATCAAACAAAGGAGCAGATACACTTGGAAAAGAAATTCCAGAAATTAAATCAATTTAATTATTTTAAATTAATGTTCCTATTTCTGCTTTATAATAGTAAACATTTTTGTTTACGCAACATTAAAGAGCTTTACAAGTCCTATCTTAAATTTCTAAATTAAACAGAATACAATATAAAGTACTTTATTTGTAGTAATTCCTTAACTTACTTTGAACATTAAAGAATTTTATAAATGCCTTCCGAGATGAACAGATATTTTTTTTTATGCACTTCCGGGTTCTCAAGTGGAGTGCAGGTGGCAGTCTCGTGTGAATCACGGATAATTTGCCTAAGCTCAGCAAGCAGAAAATAACGCTTTGCACACAAGCTGGCACGCACAATGCCACAGACCCTTGGAACTGTCCGCTTTGACTCCCGGCTCCTGTCCTTTGTGTCCCGGCTTATCACTTGGCCGAAAAAGCGAAAGGACAAAGATGAGAAAGCTGGCCGGGATCCTGCTGCTGCTGCTGCTGCTACTTCTACTGCTACTGCTGCGGCTGTCAGGCGAGTGACACGTCAGCTGTGCTTTAAACAAAGCTAAGCCCGAGTAAAAACAACATGACTAATAGTTTTGACAGGGCCAGGCAAAACAAAAGCGAGACAGCATGTCAGATAAAAGCCAAAGCGATGGCAAATGGCGGGGAGCGCCAGGAAGGCGAAACTGCATGTTAAATGTTGTCAATTAGTTGGCTAGCCAAAAAACGAATGACCGAATGACTGGGCAGTTCTGCTCAAAAACAGTTGACCAGTTAACGACCCCTGCCAACGGGGCGTATGGGTGATGCGGGACATCCACCGGCAATAGTCATCTCCGCCCAAATGATCAATTATTTTTAATCATGTGAATCATGTGGGAATTTTGAGGGGTGTTAAATTGTTTGTGACTTGCAAGTTTAAGCTAAGACATTAACACAGTTTCTCAGAAAACCAGAATGTTTAACATCAAACAATAATATTTTAATACTGTCAATCAAACTGGCAATTCATTTTATACAATTGTTTTTTGTAATCCCAAAACATTTTTTGGAAGAAACAAGTCAAAAAAACAAACGTAAAGGGTAAAACATGTTCTAACAAAATGCAAATTCACGTTCACAAAAGCCAGCAGAAAGTCTGCCATTTGAACATAAAGAAGTAAAAGCTTAAACATAAAAACTAATGAAACATTAGTTCCCATTATTCTTCCCCTTTGCAACTTTCTGTGGACCTCTGACCCTTTTGATGTTGTAACACAAATTTGGAACATACACTTAAAACAAGAAATCTGCTTTACGACAGCGTTCAGGTGAAGGAGAAAATCCTTATAACTTTTCTTTGGTCGCCTCGCCTCCGAGTCACAGGGCAGCTCAACAGCTTGGCTTAGTCATAAAAACACAAAGTCACCGCCAAAGTCGCACTTAAGCTGCACTCACCCTCCTTCTGATTTTCCCCCACTCGCACACCAAAAGAAACTGAAGTACAGTGAAATGTCCTTAAGGCGGGACGTGCATACAGATGTCAGCAAGTTGGGCGAAGTTCATAAATTCAAACAACGAGCCACATTTCGCTGACATGCACTAAGAAAAACATGGCATGGGTAACAAAATTCGTTTCCACATTTTAAATAGCAAAAACCACTTATAAATAATAAAATCATTTTTGGTTTTTAAAGAGTATAAACCCTCTATTTAATGTTGAATTTTTTTAAATATTAAAATTTTCTTTCCAAAGATTGTGCTATTTATTGTTAAGAGATTAAGATTTTTTCACGCAGTTTAACTAATTTAGATATTTTTTTTTGTATTCAAACATATTTTCTCTCTGTGTGACTTTTTGCCCGCTGCAAGTTTTGTATAGTGGCCGCTTTTTGCCGCTCATTTGGCCTGGTCCTATCTGAAGGAGCTCACTAAGGGCGGGGTTGGGTGTTGGGGTAGGTGAACGCCAGTGTTATGATGGATGCAGGCAACCACGACCCACCCACCCCCACTCGCCTGCGGATATGCAACAATGTTGTCAAGTTTCCTGCTCGACAACGGGGGCCGCCGAGCCACGGAGCTCTCAGTTGGCATTATGTCCACCGGGCGTGACTAACATGCACATGCTCAACTGTGCTGGAAAACGTTTTATCCAGCTCACATCTCACCTAAAAGCCCCCCAAAGTTGAAAAGATTGTGTTTGTTTTTTGCCGGTGACCAACTTGAATTTTGATTTTCATTTCTTGTATTTTTTCATTCATTTCCAGCAGAACCAGCAGCAGCAGCAACAGCAGCAACAGCAGCAACATGGCCAAGGACTTGAGCACTCTGGGCTGGGATTATCTGATGTTTGCCCTGTTTATAGCCCTAACCGTTTTGGGACCGCTATGGACACGCATTTTTGGCAAAAAGAAAGAGCGCAGCAAAGCCGAATATGTTTTTGCCACCGGAGGAGTTTCGATCGTAGCGGTGATGATTTCTATAGCTCGTGGAACTCTAGGCGTGAGATCGGTTTTAGGTGAGTTTGAATACATTTTGGATCGTTACTAGAAGTTTGTTTGAGTTCAATTTCCAAATCAATAAAGCTAAAAATACTATTCTGTAACTTGTAAATTTCTCATTTTGTTAGGATTTCACTGCTTGCCATTGCCATATAATAAATCTCATAATACTATTTTATAGGCTATCCCAGTGAATTGTACTACCGCGGATCGGCCATGTGGGAGATAATCTACGGCATGATGAGTGCCTATCCCATCGTTTGCTTTATGTTCGTGCCCGTCTACTTTAATCTGGGCATCACCTCCGTCTATCAGTACATCGATCTGAGGTGAGTCGAAATTCCCACGCAGTCCACGCAAAAGCAGAAAGTCGTCCCCCTGAGCGCCGCATCGTTTAATTAGTAAGAAGCGAAGCGAAGCGGCAACAGGAAAATTGTTATTTAAACATTCATTTTAATTTCGCCAAATGCGTCGCAGCGACTGATGGACTGGTGTTGTCCATGGGTTTGTGTCGCCTCTCTCTTATCGCCGAAGCGCACACAATTTTATTCTTCATTAAGGGGGCCAAATGAAACTAAACAGAGAAACAGAGAAGCGCCAAGGGCTCAGCTCAGGTTCGGCTCCTGTTCGCTGCTCCTGGCGAAAGTTGCTGCGTTGCTAAATAAATTTGAATTACATTTTACACAAAAAACGAACAAAAAGTGACAACAACAACGAGACACTAACAAATGGCCAAACAAAAGCCGAGCCGGCAGAGCAAATAATCTATAGATTTGTCCTTGCCCTGCCGAGGATAGCAACTTGGACTTTCAAGACTCAGTTTCGGACTTGGTCCTTTGGATGCTATCGCATTCGAGTTGTCGTCAGCGTGTCTGTGCCCTTCTCCTTCTCCTACTGCCAATTTTTCCTCCTCCACTTCCATTTCCATCTGTCGCAAGTTGTCGCCTCGTGGGCCTAATTGTTTTTTAAGTTCGAAATTAGTTAACAAATTTGTTATCAAATGTTTTGCAGTTTCGACAACAGAATTCAATTAATTGCAAAAACTGACAAGCCAAACAGCGCCGGGGGGTGTGGCCATCGTGGGCAGAGCATAATTTGATTGAAATTTAATTGGCATGTGCCGCACATCGACAACATTTTCGGGGGGTTTTTGAATGAAGGAGCAACTGGACGTTGGCAAACTAAGTAAAGTGAAAGCTGTGCAGAATTGACAAATTATTTAAATGTTTATGTTTCAGCAACTGGAGGTAATTTGTAAATTAGCATAAACAAACTGAAATACAAGAAGAACCAGAGGGCGTTTCGAGAGAAATTAATTACAAAATCGATGAATGACTAATGTACATACTTAGCTAGTTTCTAGTTTCATGAATTTCCCTAATCCCAGGATCGGTTTGCATAAATTTCCTTCATAGGAAATAGAAAACGCTTGAGTAGGCTATTTAAAAATAAATTGAATTAATGACTTGTGAAATCACTTATTATGCAATTCAATAAATTGTTTTATGCCTTTTAAAACGCAGTAAAATTAATGACCACCCCAACGACTGATAAAGTTAGCTCTCAAAAAATACCATTTTATAAATGTACATTTTACTCGGCTCGGACGCAACACTCAAACTAATTGAAGAGCCAACGAGTCAAGCTACTTCATCAATCTTAGTCAATTGGCTTTGCCCCGGGCGAAGAAATAAAGAAAGCAGGCAAGAGGAAAAACAAGAGATCCAAAAAGGGTTGTGGAGGAGGCGCAACATGGCCAAATGTTGCCCCAAAAAGTTGGGCGCACAACATTTGGATGCCTCATTGTCGCTTGTCATCGCAACTGGCGCCCCGCGACATGTTTATGCATACAACTTCATCAAAATAGGCTGAGCCTCTGGACTGGCAAAGGCAAATGGAAATGGAATGGAAATGGGGTCTAGGGCACATACACACAAAGGCCGATAAGTGAATATGCTACAAATTGGCAAAAGCCACTTGGCCAAACACATCCAACCAGGCCAAATAAAGCAAGTTTCAGGGGGAAAAAATGAGGAAAAGACAAAGCCTTGACGTTGGCAACAAGAGCAGAATGCCAAACATGAATGGCGATGTAGTCAAGTAACTAGGCCTGAAGATACCCATTCATTTTGATAAAATAATCAAAATAGTTTATATTCAAACAATTTGATAATATATGTGGCCTTATTGGAAGTTCAGTACTGTTGAGTTGATTAATACATATTAAAGTGACTTAACCAAAAAAAAGCTTTTACTCCTCTTGTATAAAAGCCTTGAAAGACAGCATTCCTTATACTCCCACTATTACCTTGTATAAAGCCAAAAAAAAAACCAGTGAATGGCACAAAGAAAAAGGAAGCAACAACAAAGAAGCCACTCGGTCTGAGGCTGTTGACAAATTGTATGACAATTCGTTTGTGCCATAATGTTTATAAATAGCGCGTGTTGTAGCCTGTCACTGGCATCAGGCATCAAGCACCAAGCGCCAGGATCCCTGCCCCCAAAAAACTTGCGAAACAAAAAACCCAAGACATCCCAAGCACACACGCACCCAGCCAAAGTCGTGGATTCTCTCACTTGTCAGTCGCCTGTCGCAAGTGATGTCTGCCACTCAAATCCGGAGGAGGATTGGGTGGTTTTGGGCGGAGTGGGCGGACTGGGCGGAGTGGGAGGCCGTGACCCTTGACTCTCTGCCAACTCAAGTGTTAGCCAGCTCACACAGAGATTTGCTATCTGGCCCCCATTGAGTTCAATGGTCAAGTAAAGTTCGGCTTTGTTCGCCCCGGATAATTCATACTGCCGGTGATTTTGGGGTGGCAATTACATGTAAATAAATTGATATCTGGCTTGTGTGCCAGAGAAGCGGGAGAGATCAATGCGAACAGTTGTTGGCACTTAGCAAATGGAAAAAATGCATTCCGGCTTCCTCCATGGTTTATTTACGAGTACAAGGGGCCAAAGTGCTCCTGAGTGAATGACTGCCGAATGAAAAAAGCCAGGAAAACCCGGTTAACGGTGTGAGAGGTGTGAAGGGGTCGACGTTTTAGGACGACATGCATACGCATAAATAAAGACGTTTTCGGCGCTACAAAGTGGGGCCGTGATTTGCAATTCAAAGGCAAAAAACTTGTTTGGGAGTAACACACATGCCCCTGGTGGAAAAAGAAAAAGAGGAATATTGGTACTCAGCAACAAAATGTTTCAATATCCCTTCCAAGCTCTACAGTGTATTCTTTGTTAAAATTTTGCGTTTAGAAATGGAAACTTATACAGATTAAAGAAATAGCTTTCGTTTTGTTCGTAATCAATGCCAAAGAGTAATTTACGTAGAAATAACAAAAAGCTATTAATATCTCAAGGTTCAACTAAATTTATTTTATATTCTTTTAAAACAAAATTATATGCATTCGGTTTTAAAAAAACATTCTCCGAGCAGCTGAATAAAACATTTGGTAGGATCTTTGAAGTAATCAATTGTAAGGCACCTTTTTGGGTAAGGTAACCCAAAGTCGATTAAATCAACCGAAACCTTTCACCTTTGATATCTCTTTTCCCACCACTTTTCTTTGTGGGCGGCTTTTAACGCATTGACGGCACTCAGGACAACACCGACTTCATATGGCTGATTATGTTTATTTATGCATGACATTTAATGCAATCAAATGTGTCACCCTACTCGCCTGTTTCACCTTGGCTCAGATTGCCTTTGATTGTAAAATTAACTCGGCCCTCCCAGGAGACAAGCGAGCAAGGCGGAGCAACTGATTTGGGTAGGAATTGGCTGGCTAAACGGCGATTATGTGGCCATTGTACAAAACCACTCGTCATATTAAATTTGCCATTAATTTATGCCTTTGTCGCCTGGCCAAAAACTGGCTTAGCGGCTTGCCATGATAAATGATGGGTCCGACTTGCAGACCAAACTCAATTTCAAAGGGGGCGAGCGCAGTGGGCGAAGTGGGAAAGTGAATCCCCGGTAGGACCCCGTCCCGGGTTCAATTAACGGCTGGGTGGGGCTGTTGGGGCTGTGGTGCTGTGCCCACGCCTGCTGACCTGCTCATTCGCTGGCAACCCATTTTCACACCCTCCGGCGGTGGTGGTCATTGACGTTGGTGCTGCGTCGATGGCTGGTTGGCTGGTTGGGTGGTTGTGGAAATGGGAGCACCCGGGAGCTGCGAGTGTCCTTACTCGCAGTAATTGCTTGCCCGCTGGCATGGCTGCAGCAATTATTGCATACTTTGCGGCACTTACATTTCATTTAAAGTTATTAAGCGACAATCGCATCGCAGGACGTCTTTAATCAACCCAGCGAAGCAAATTATGCCGGCAAAGAGGGAGAAGCAGGCGGGAGCTGCCCGGTAGATACGCTGGCTGGTTAAATCAATTAAACTAAAACAAAAGCCAGGACCAGGCGAACGTTCAATCAACTGGACGGCGGTGACAGCCTCAGGTCATTACTCACACACAGCCGCAGTGAGATGAAATGACAGACTGAGAGACAAACCGACAGGCAGACAGACAGGCAGAAAGACCGAGCGACTGAGGGCTGAAAGCAGAGGGCAGAGAGCAGAGAGCTGGGCAAATCCTAAGCCAGGACAACCGGCCGAGCACTTATTGTGATGAACACAATGTTAACAGGCTAAATGAGAAACAAATGCCACAATCAGACAACGTAGAAAAACACTCGCCGACGGAGTAGAAGACGGAATGAAAGGCAACCGAAAACAATAAATCCCATAAATCATATTAAATTGACATATCAGGCTTAAATTGACCGCAAGCAGCAATATGCCACACACACACATAAACACTCGTGTATCAGTATGTGTGTGTCTTTGTGGGATACTGTATCCTACAATAATATTTCTTTATCAATTTCCACAACAAGCTCAGTCCTGGGAAAAACAAGAAAAACCAAAGAACACGAAATAGATGAGACGCAAAGAGGGCGAAATGCCTAAATAAATGTTTGACCAACCAAGCAAACCGAACCGAACCTTACCGAAATCCCACCCAGTGCCACGCCCATTCAATCAACACATATAACGGCGACTGTCATATGTGCATGTCCTTGACCAAATTGGCCAGGCTTTTATGCCAGCCCTGGACTTTTCCTCTGTGGGATTTTCCGATTGTTTTCTCTCCAGTCCACAGCAGACACAGCTGTGTCGCAATTAAAATGTATATCAAGCATACGACGCGTTGTCATGTAAACCGCTTAAACCCTCCTCCTGCCCAACAATGTAAAGTCGATCGGGTAAATATGTTAAGCCCGCTTAATGCAAAGCTAGCCTGGGGGCGTTGTGGGTCGTATCCCAGCCCACCCGCATATGTCAATTGATGTTTGCCCGTGGGGAAAAGTGCAACATCATTAATTAATACTCAAGTACGGGTTGCCCTTGCGAAGGCCTGCGGCTTGGTTTTATAATAACCCAAACATTAAGGCGATTAAAGATGAAATCCACTGCATCTCTTTCCCCATCTAAATATGCATTTAATCCTCTTGCCGCACACCTGCGCCGCCCATCGCTCATGCCCCATGCCAAGGACCTCAGCCAAGACACGGCCCGTTGACAGCCCAACTCGACTCAGATCAATATTGGCCAAGGGCAATTAATCATTTAGTGGGCCATCTCACACACGCAGACCGACGCAGAGACACCGTATGACAAACAGAGACGGACGGTCGGAGAAGAGGGCAGATGGAGCGGAGCTGGGGCCGGTAAAAGTGGATTATGCAGTCAGCCCAGATGTTCAACAAGAAATTACTTGTGATTACAATTCACAGTCCGGTACGAAGATGTAAGGGCAGTGATCAGCTTTAAGAGAAGGGCAAGCAGTTTTGTAAAAACACTGAGCAAACATTGAAGCATGCAATTTATTGAAAACTTTTACCCCAGTGTAATTTATATTGTAAAATTTAATTATGCCAGTAGTACTTGGCATAGCATATTTACAGATCAACCAGCTGTTATCATTATTTATAGTTAAAAAAAGACTCTAGACAGGTTTGTTTTAAACAATAACTCACTTACTATGAGGAAGTTTCAATGAAATTTGATTAATGCTTAATTAATAGTGAATAACCCGAAACTGATGGAATATAAAAAAGAATTATGACCAAGTTAAAAATTAGTTAGAAATAAAATTCAACTTTGCTTAAGGGGTTATATCCAGTTGCGATTTTGAAAAAATCGAAATTTTTTTTTTTTGCCTATTTTGAATGTATATATATCTAAGAAGATTGTCTGAAAATTTCAAAGTATTCCGGTAAATGGTATTGGAGTAATCAGTGTATTTGTAAAGACGCCTCCCATGTAGTTCAACTAGTAGCCAAAACTTTAAGTGCGTTTTTCTCGAAACTATGTCTTCAAAGTCGGTGAGGAAAATTTCTCCGAGACGGCTTGTCCGATTGACTTGAAACTTTCACATTCTCTTCTTAGATATTTTTTTCAGGTAATGAGACTTGGAATTTTGGCTCCGACAAAAATTTCGATTTTTTTAGCCACTTCAAAGTTGAAATTTTTGTGCCAAAAACAAAGTTTTATGTTTGGGAAGCTGCCATTTTGTCAAAAATCAAAATTTTGAAAATCCCAAGTCTCATTACCAGCATTTGTCTATTCTTTACGTAATCCTTCTGGTTTTTTGAATTTCTGATCATTTGGACCGGAGATATTTTCCTCACCGCAAAACCCTTTTTTGAAGTGGACCCTCGGGAGATCCTCTACAGGACCGACGGAGTCCAAAAAATTTTTTTTTTATAAATGTATTCAAAAACTAGAAAAAATGATCTATCTTTTCATATACAACACGTATACATACAATAAATAGCCTCTCCAAAAATAATTTTCAAAAAAGCTCATTTTTTTGGCCTCGCAACTGGATATAACCCCTTAATAGAATTCGTTTATAGTGTTATCGCTGTTAGCTTCCTAAGGGTATCGTTGAATTTTACAGGGTTTATACCTACTTTATTCTTCCGAAACGGACTGTTAACTTCGTGGGCGAACTAGTAACTTAAAGCTCAGGATGCCAATCAAAGGATTACGGTCATAAAGCAGTTTATTTATTAAAGACCCGGTGAATGCGTGTGCGAGGGCACTTGAGACATTCGCCCATGGCCACATAACGCATACTAAACGATCATTAGGAGCACCCCCAAAGCATTGCTCCCCAGCTTGTCGCACATTTCGCATCAAATTAACACACAAATTTTTACAACCGAGGCCATAAAAAGCGACCGGCTCAACTATAAAAACAATCAAAACGAGTTAGAGACCCGCCAATTTTCTTAGGTTTTTCTTCGCCCGTGTCGTAAATTTCAACCCGCCCTCGCACCCGATTCCACATAACTTCTTTACAGCGGTAGTAAATCATAAAAAGGGGGAGTGTTTGGCGCAAAAAACAAGGGACGCAACCCGAGAAGAGGCAAACATTAAAAGTTTAATAAAAATAAATAAACGGATAGAGTGCAAGGGGCACCTGGACGAGCTGCTTAATTAAAGCCTGCACTCACTCACCTGCTCCTGTTTTCATCCTTATCCTCTTCATTCCTCCTCGTTGCAGGTTCAAGAGTCGCACGGTGAGATGCCTGGCATCGGCCACGTATATTGTGCGACAGATCTGCAACCTGGGCATCACCGTTTACACGCCCAGTGTGGCCCTCTCGACGGTGATTGGCATACCCTACTGGGCCTCCATCGTGGGCATGGCCATCATTTGCATATTCTTCACCTTAATGGTAAGCCGGGGTCGGGAATGCCAGCAATTTAATGATGAAAATATTCAAATTCCTTTTCACCCTTGTTCCAACTCATTAGGGCGGCCTGAAGGCGGCTATCAACGCGGACGTTATCCAAACGCTGACCATTCTGGTTGTCACTGTGGCCGTTTGCATCCAGGGCACTATTTCCACGGGCGGCGTAAAGAAGGTCTACGAACTAAACCGGGACAATGGTAAGCCATCGGTTGGTGGGGAATTTGCTTCGATTGATCATGGCAGCTTATTAGCCAGCTGCCAGGATACGGTGTGTGCGATTGTGTATGTGTGTAGTGCTGACGAATGATGACTATTAAAATGGCATCCATTGTGGGATGCCGTCGCTCTGCTTGTGTTTCTTCGTCGGCTCATTATGCACATAAATGATGATGATAAAAGTGGCATAAAACAGCGGCATCCGAATCCAAGGGTAGGAAGGAAATGGCAGCCTCGCATGACGACAGTAATAAATGTGTGTCGGCGGAGCGTTTGTCACTCGAGTTTGAGTTGTTGGCTGTCATTGTGCGGCAATCGTGGGGCTCTTGGGAATGCCTCCACGTGATGCCTTTCCTTTCATCCTTGCACTTGCACTAAAGACACCATCCCTTCTATTCCCAGGACGCCTCAGTTTCTTTAACTTCACGGGCGACATGACTGTCAGAGTGGATACCACCTCGGCCTGGCTGGGGCAGCTGTTCATGTCCCTCTCCCAGATCGGCTGCCAGCAGAACTTCATGCAGCGCTATGTCAGCCTCAAGTCGCTGAAGCAAGTGCGTCGGTAAGTAACTAAAACTACAAGCAGATAACAAACAATCAAAAACCTATTAATATTATAATACTTCCCACTTTGCAGAGTCATGTTGTCCAATGTACCTCTGGTGTTCTTCTTCTTTTCCCTCTCCTGGATCTCCGGCATGGTCATCTACTCCACGTACATTGACTGCGATCCCTATGCCGAGGGCTACATCAAGAAGCCCGATGAGATTCTACCCTTCTTCGTTGAAGATCAGCTCGGTTTCTTGCCCGGATTTGTTGGCATTTTCATGGCCACTCTGTTCAACGGAGCCCTCTGGTAGGTTATACTTTTTTATGGGATGAGCTTCCTCTAATAAAAGGCATTTTTCCAGCATGATGGTGTCTAATCTTAACTCCCTGGCAACTGTTATTTGGGAGGACTTCATATCGCAATTTCCCAAATTCAAAGGACTTACTGACAAGCAGCAGTTGAGAATCCTGAAGAGCATCACCGTAGTCTGTGGCCTGATCATTATGTGTGTGGCCTTCGGAGTTGGTTTGCTGGCGGGTGTAATTGAATCTTCGCTGCTGGTGTTCTCGGCTACCTCAGGTCCACTTTTGGGTTGCTTTATCCTTGCCATGATGGTGCCGATTGCCAATTGGAAGGGAACTTCCGCCGGCATGGTGACCGCCACCGCTTTTGTCTTGTGGATCATCGGCGGAGGCATGACCGTTGAGAAGCACAATCCCATGCTACCGACCTCCACAGATGTAGGTTTTATTAGGATTTTCAAGGAGGGCGATCTATAAAAACTGCTTTGTTTTGTTTTTCATAGGGCTGCTCCAACGACACCTTCTCGGATTCTATTACCAAGCCCATTATTGAGCCGGGTCAGATGCCCTGGCTGCTCACGCACACGCCAATTGATGGTTATAACCAGACCTACGTGGCCACCCAGCCAACCATTGCATCTGAAAGGTGAGTTGCTAAATTATTTCTTTTTGCGAAAAAAAATACTAATGTATATTTACCTTCAATCCCTTGTTAGATCCGGACTGGAGAGCTTCTACTCGATCAGCTTCATGTACTACAGCTTGATTGGAACCGCCTTGACCGTGATTATTGGCACAGTGATCAGTTTGTTGACACAGCACCCGGATGACGCATACGACGGCAAGCTGCTGCACCCGATGATCTTCCGCCTGTGCGAGCGCTTCTCCGGCCGAAAGCCCTATTACGTAAAGCACGAGGAGGAGTCCGGATTGAATGGACGCAGTAGCAGCGATTCATCGGCGACGACGACGACCTGCAAGGAGGAGAAGGTCAACCATGGCTACGAGTCCTCGCCGGAGGAGAAGGAGAAGAGCAATCCGATCGCTGTGGTATTCACCACCTCCGTAGAAGCGGGATCGGCGGATCAGCAGTCCATTTGCGACAGCAGTAGGATCCAATTGGACGCTGTTCCGGGAGCCGGGGAAACGGGCGTATATCGCCAACTGGCCGGCCGATCTGCGCTCTAGGGAATAACTTTACCACAGTTAATTCCCTTTTTAGTCCGTAGTCAGTAAGCTAAGCTCTAGAGAAGTCCAATTAGTTAGCCAAGTGTTTCAAGTCTATAAAGATGCTGTGATTTCTGTGCGCGACGGTTGTTGAGCAATTGCTCGCGCATTTGTAGCAACCCGAGTTTCATTCGCATGTACTTACCGCATGTGTTTGTGCGTGGCAGCGTGCAATAAACAAAGACAATTAAACATATTTTTATACAAAATCACACAACGATTCCGTTTTTCCGTACCAATTTTAATTTTTCGCGCGCGACGAAACTTGTTGAACTTTGCCAGTGCTGCCCATCCAACTGCCTATCGATAGCAATCGAAGAGGTAGCCAGGGCTGCAAAAATAGCCCCGTGACTCACGACAATTGGCTTTTCAAATTAAAATTTTTGTGAATTTAAATAACAACGTTAATTGAGAAAGTTAGAAATATTTTGACATTAATTTTTTTATAATAAAGAGACAAATGTTTATATTTTACAAGGATTTATACACGAAATGATATTAAAGAAAAGAACATAAATATTTAAAGTTTTTTAATCAAAATGTATACCTGGGCGGCAAACAAAGTTTTGGTTATTTCAACAATTGCCTTAAATCCGTGGACGTGGTGTATTCGTGAGATAATGACTCATTATATATATAGAAAATAGGAATTCGCACAAAAAAAGTATATTACAGTTGTAAACAATTACCATGCAATAATAAGTCGTGAGCATTCGTGACTGCTCTCAGCTGTTTTGTTGTTTCTCCCATCCCTATTATGTGGGGATTTTTGTTTGGCGGTGTTGCGTCCCCAAAGAATGAACAAATAAAACGCAAAAGGCTGGGCCCCTGAAAATCCATAGTGAAACATGGCCACGCTCGTTAAACCCAAAAAGGAGGTGAGTCCGTACAACAACGAAACGTACCCTTAAACTACAATAGACCAATTGTAGAAAAGCAAACGGTCTCGCCATGCAGTGCAGATCCAAAAAGAGGAAGAGGAAAACGCTGAGTTATCAACAAGTGAAGAACAAAGACCAGCAGAAAATGTGTCGCTGTTGGAGGAATTTGAGCGAGTTGCGGCCTTGGCCAGCAGTTCCAGTGGCGAAGCGATCATTAGCCATGAATGCAGTGTCTCCAGTGATGTCAGAGAAAAACCAGAAGTGTCAGAAACCCAGGAACCCACAGAAACGGAGACTGAACCCAGTGCTCCAAGTGCCCCGCCCTCAACTACTGTCCACATCGTTCAGTATCCGAACCTACAGCCCATGCAGTTGTCCAACTCCCAAGTGGAGGAGCACTCTGCCAAAATTGTTTACCGGAGGGCAGAATCATCCTCCTCCGGTTTTGCACTGGCCAAAAGTCACATAAAGCCTTGGAATGCCCAAGAACTTCGACAAATATACGATTGTCCCGAACTAGAATTGGCAAAACAGTTCGAGCTGGAATTTCTTATGAACTCGCTACTGGAGTCCAGCGAATCGGATCCACTCTATGCTGCTTTAATGGAATACTATGAACTGCAGGGCAAGATCACCGCAAATCTGCATGATGTGGAAAAGCTGCGAAAAGGCTGCACGGAGTCCCAAAAACAGATCTGGGTGCGCCAGCCAGTAACGCGCAATTTTAGTGGAACGTGTGGTGATGGCAATGTGGTCCAGGAAAGCATCACATACGAGTAAGTAATGACTTTCTTATGTAAACAAATCACCTACTAAATTACTTTTGCTTTCAGTCAAATAAAGGTGGACCCAATTAAACTAGAAGTGGCCCAAACCGCTTTGACGGGTCTGTACGACCTTGTCTGCCACACTTACACCAATAATCTAATCACAGCAAAAATAACCAAAGTTAAAGTTGACCAAATAATTAACGACCTTTTGGCCTACCCCAGTGCAGATGGGCAGACATCGATTACATTAAATAACGCACAAACTGGTCACGCTCTGGAGTGTGTTTCCCAACTGAGAAGAGCTATTTCCATACTCTTTAGCTTCGTTCGAAGACCAAGTCCTAACTCGGTAATAACCGTACCTTTAAATTTGTATTTTTGTTTATGTTATCAGTAGAGAATTATATTAACAATTTTTCTACAAACAATTCGCCAATTGGCCAAACCTCTTATGTCAACGGCTCTACAGTAAAGCCTTTTTTAATTGAAATTAAGTTAGTAAGCTTTTTTTGTAAACAATAATTTTATATTATATCTTCTTTACAGAACTTCGACAAGGACCTTAAAGAATGGCTGCGCAAACTTATTGCCCTACAATTATTGCTGGCCACCAGAGAGGATCACTGGTTCCTGCTGTTCAACATTCTACGCTGTCCCAACGGCGTCGGTTCCTGGGCCGCCCAATTTCTACAAGTGCCCGGAACGCAAACAGTGGGTCGTGGTTCTCAACAAAACGAATTGCCTCTGGATTTAAACTCGCCCGAAATCAACCATTGCATGGCTGTGCTGCAGATTCTCCTGATGCCCGTAAAAAAACGAAACGAGTATCTCAAGAGTCAGGCCCAAGCACACCGAGAACTATCAGAGGCGACCGCAGCCACGGAACGCTGGATAGTGGTAGACTCCGATGGCGAGGACTCGCACACTCCAGCTGGCGAATGCATTGGCCTAAAGGAAAGCGATCTGATCGCACTGCTCAACCAGTTGCCCTTCGAAAAGATTTTTACGTGAGTGAAAACCTTTATTTAGTTGCAATCTATTTCAACAATGTTTATTTTTAGATCTGCTATGCGTATTGAAAAGTTTTTGGAAGACTACATTCTAGAGCCCGACATGATCACTGCTCAGCAAATGCTATCCGTGGTGGTGTTCTTTGCCCAGCTGGTGAAAACACTCGGCGAAGGATTGCTAACCTACAACAATGAGCGATATAAGCAGCTAGCCAAACGTCTTGGTCGTTTGGTGCGTCACACTTTGCAATATGTCTTTGATTATCACGAATTGTTCATGTAAGTAGAATCTTAATATAAGAAATAGTTCGTGTTTCTCAATAACTTTTTTTTAGAAATAACAACCTGTTCAAGTCCTCTGACATGTTTGAGCGCATCCAAGTGGAGCTGCAAGCCCTTCTCGTTCGCGCCTGCGGCTATATTTATCGCACTCGTAACCTTGGAACCTGGCAGTACTTTTCCACCTTGCCCTTTGCTACCTTGGACGCCGAGGTCGTGTGGCACTTGTTTTACTACCTAAATGTGGGTTTCCCCACGGATTTGACCAACGATTTAGTGAGCAACGCGGAGGCTGCCTTCCAAGCGGAAGATTTTTGGCGCAAATTTGACTTGGCCAATTCAGATGTGGCGCCTGAAGACATGTACTACCTATTACAAACCTTCTTTGAGATGGCCAACGATCGAAACCGCTCCAAGGATGGAAACCTCGTCAAAGCAATTTGCCTGCACATCTTTCACATTGGATACATACATCGATCTACGAGGGAGATTTGCTATAAAACAGCGCGTGATATGCTGGCCAACTTGATGGATGAGAATCTGTTGGGTTGTCTGCTGGTTCAGCTAAAGATGCGATACGGTGATGTAGATCAAGCGGCGTACCTTTTCAAGGCTCTTCCGCTCGAGAACTGGCACCCCAGCATGGATAGCTTTGAGGTCCTCTCTAACTGGCTTCTCCATTTTGATTACCAATCTTCGGAAAGCCATTTAGCTCGCCTGATCATCAGTCACCTAAACTGGGGACTGGACTGCGAAGGACGTCTTTTCCTGCCCCATAACATTCATGTGCGAATGGCTCATCTCGTAAATGAAGCTCTAAATAAGTATTCTCCCGAAGTGATTGGAGCCTCCGGAATTTCTGAGAGCGTGCGTCAAGTGTCCTCACTTATTGACTCCACTCAATCGAGTCGAGAGCAGTTTACCAACTGGTGCTGGCGCATGGTCTCTGTGCTGCGTCTGCATCTAATGGATCAGGGCGTGGAATCCGTAAAGCGCACCCTACAACATCCAACGGAGCCGCTTCTTTTCATTCCCGAACTGGAGCGAATGGAGATAATCTTCCAGGGCGTAAATGAGAACCGCCCTCTGGCTTTGTATGTAGGCATGTTGGTCAGCCTACATGGCCACTCAATACCTTTAATCTGCCAGCACGGATTTAATCTGCTACAGCAACTGCTTCTGGATCACCGACATGCGGCCACCATTCGATGCCTGGAGCTCATCGTGCCGCTGTTCTTGGAAACTCCTGAAACGCTGGCAAATTGTGAAAGGTAAAAAATATAATCTAAAGCCCTATACGAAATTTATTATACATTTCTTTAATAGTTTTCAGAGATTGTTAATAACTCTTCTGAATGCGGACAGAACTTATTTGAAGCTTGCTAAGGACATGGTCTATGCCAACTCCATTGGTCCCATTCTGGAACTACTGGATAACATGCTGCACCACCAGATTGTCTCGTATACAAAGTAAACATTAGAAGCGAAAGTCTTTTACAATTACTTATTCTCCTTAAATCTTTCCTGCTAGCTATGGTCTGTGCTCACCACTTAATCTTCTCAACATCTGGCTCAATTGCTTCACCACACTGCCGGGATGGTCTCAAAACTCGAATCTTTTGTATCTTCTCGATAAAATGCTGCGGATATCCTACCAGTTCACCGACTGTCGTGCTCAAGCTGTAGAATTCTTTTACAATTATTACAAGGTAAATATGTTATTGTATTTTAGCTACAAATAAGTCTAAAAAACAGGCTCAAAAACGTACTTTAAAAAGCTGTATATACAAAGTTGGCTTATTAATAACATTGTTGAACTCACAGGATTGCACAGATTGGAAGTCCGCACCCAAAGGATCAGCTTTAAAGGCCTTCTTTGGCGGTCAGTCTCCTTCTCGAATACCTGTAATCTCACCGCAAAACTGCTGGCTGAATTTGGTGTTACTGGAGATTGAGTTCCGTTTGGTGGACACGCGCATTTTTCCGGAGCTTTTGCGACAAATTTCCGTTCAGCCCGTGGAGGCGGCACTTAAAAAAGACCCTCTCTTTGAGCAAAACCAATGCCTTTCCAGCAAGCCAATTGGTTATATTTAAGTACGCTCAACTGCTGGCCAGCATGGACAGCAATCACGCTTTGTTTCCTATTGTTTGCCAGAAGTTTTTTGAGCTTTACCTTTGGAGGGTGCCCACAGAAACTGAGTCGCTTAACTTTAGTCACAACTTTGGAGTGTCCGATAAGTTTTACGAACACAATGTGCCTTTAATGAAGAGTATTAAGTCCCAACTCAAGTCCGCTGAGTCGTACTACTCCGCCTTGGCAACCAAAAGTGCCAGTGACGATGTCATGGCCCACTTTTATCGCAGCTGCTGCAAGCTGATGCAGAACTGCGCCCTCTGGCTGGAGGATACCCAAATCAATCGCTTCACCAGCGATGCTGAGCAACTACCTGCCCAGTACAACTGTGAGAAGCTGCGAGAACTGTTGAGTGGTCATGTCAACCACTGGACTGAATTCCTTTGTCTTGCGATGCTGCGCAAAGAACAACGCCACCAGGCGGATCAGTGGGGTCGGAAAATTATGAGAATTCCAAACCAAAAGGCTCCGAGAACTCCGTTGCAACCAAAGCCGCGACAGCCACCTGCTCAACATATTAAAAGCCTGCTGATTACTTATGAGAAGATTATTCCAATTCCAAGTCATGTTTGCGTTAAACCAATTGAGACTCCTCCCATCGATGGAAACCTCCTGACGCAACTTAAAAAGAAATTGAACACGTTTAACTCAACTGCCAAGTAAGTAATGAAGTTTCGGACTTAGAAACGGTTGATTAATATATCTGAATTGATAGCTCATACCATTACAAGACGTCTGAGTTGAACTCATTGAACCTTAACTACTTGGAAAGTGTGCCAGCTCTGTACCAAATGATTCCCTACGAAGAAAGCAGGCGAAAGGAGTGCACATCCCTACTCTTCAAGCGGAACTGTACTGCTCCCGCGAACATCAAATTGACGCCGGAGCATATAAGAATCAACGAGGTTATAAATCGCAAGCAAACACAAAATCGCGAACGGCATGACAAAATTATAGAGGATCTACTGTTGGCCATGAATTTGGATGACTTTGCCCAAGGCGTCGAGGAGTTTGGCATCTGTATCGGTGCGCTTCTGGTTGCTCCAATTGATTCAAGAGTAACGCAAATCGGAGTGGAGGTATTCTACTGTCTGGTTAAGAACCTAAACGAGGTTACCATGAAATTCCAGCCAACACACGACCTTTACTTCCAAGTGCTAGAGAAGATTGGGGTAAATGCAAAATATAATATAATATATAAGTAATTTATTATTTATTTAATTTTCATATTCTTTTTTATTCTTAGGTATTTTTGCATGCAGATCAGGCTTCCCAGGGTTTGGTCGTGCTACGTCTGGCCCTCGAGCGACCCGATCTCTTGGAACTTCTCGCAGGAGTCTTTGTGCCGAGCCGCACGGATGTGGAGCACTTCTTGCCCATGTATGAATTCCTCATTGATTCTCATCTCAAGCGCTGCGACACACAAACACTATTCGTGCTATTCTCAAAATTCGATCTGTTGGGTTGGATGGAGGCGTATCAGCCAAAGCTGAGTGAAATCAATCGCCTGCTCATGTTGGTACTCCAGGGTCTGGAGGCTTGGTCTCAACCGGATAGTAGTCTTCTACAGGATCAGTTTCGCCGGCATTTGGTGCATATATTTGGCTACGACTTTCCACAGCACTACGGCGAAGTGATGCAGCTCGTTCTGGATCGCACTTCTGACCAAAAGCTAATGCCGGTGGTGCTGCTGGATTTGCTTAATGCTTTGTTTGTCCGATCTAACTCTCCAGAGTTGTCTTTAGACCAAAACGAAGTACGTGTGCACGAGATCTCATTGGACTTCGCCCGGCGTCAGAAGTTATTCACCCTGAAGGCGGCAACCGATACGCTTTTGCTTTTGTCCCGACACTTTCAAAAGGAGAGACTTCATCACGGCCTGCATGGATTGTATCCCAAACACAAGGATTACTGTCAACCGCTGATCCTCTGGTTCACATGTTTTGGACATACGCTCTTGGCTTCTGCAATTTGTAGCTACCAGGAGCTACTAGCCGATCAAAGTACGTGAAGAACTATATATATTTTTTTAATACTCACTATTTTTGTCATTTATTTAGTCAGCGACATTGTGTTCGGCTCCATTGTGGAGACCTACGGACCCTGGCTCATCCCATACACCGAACAAACGGTCAGTGGCGTGGCCCACTGGATACGCCAACTGACTCCTGGTCAAAGCAAAGTGCTCTTGCCATGGAGTGAACAACATGTTAACAGCAGCAAGCTTATGATCCGTTCCTTCGTGGCAACCATATTACAAGTATTGCAGTATCTGCCGTCGTCAAGCAAGATCCTGGAGCACGTGTTCGCTTGGTATGTGCACCACTTCGCCCAACCCAACATCGCGGGTCATGTGTTGGCTCCCATTCACGAGGGCATGGCTCAATTGCCTTGGGAACGTTTCCAGCCGCCTGCACAGCATGTGGAGCTCCTGTACGATAGCCTGCAGAAATTCCTGCCAGAATCGCACGCCATGCTAGGACACATATTCATTCGGATTAACTGGAACAACTGGTTCGCCCAAATGCCTCAGCCGGTGGCCATTCTCTCCAGACTTTTTGGCATTTTCGTGAAGATCGCCTTCGAACCGAATATTCACATTCATCCCAATACGAGCAAAATCCTTGAGGAAGCCATTAAGTATCCGTGGCACCTGGTGGAATACAGCGAGCTGGAACAACTACTCAAGTGGTTTGTGGCCAGCGTGGAGCCAGCTATAACCCTAAAGCTCCCAGCTGAGAGTAACTATGCGGATCGTGCTGTTTTGGAGTAAGTTTAAATAATCATCAATTCAATTTAAATAAAAACGATATTTTCAATTGCTTTAGACTTCTTCGCCTGGCCTGTGCCATGTCGCCGGAACGCTCTGCTCAGGATGCAGTTGTTCTGGGAACTGCCAAGCGGATGCTCTACACCCGCTGCATGGTCCGCATGCAGAGAGCCTGCGGAGCCAAGCACAAGAAGCTCCTGGCCACGAAGGAGGGCGAGCGTGCCTTTACTGACGCCTTTCTGGAGCTACTAAATAGCATCGATCAGGCGATTAGCAGCTGCAGTGAGGTTCGCACGCCGGAGGAGCAGCGCAGGGAAGCACTTAATCTAATGCTCGAGCTGGTGGCGCCCACACAAACGCAGAGTCAGGAAGTCTCCAAGTAAACTACTTCATAAGATTTTTGAAATTAGAGTAACTCTTATAAATGAAATCCTTTTTCAGTATCCACATCAAGGCTCTTATTTGGTGGCAGCAGCGTAGTGCACCAGGCAATCTGGTCATGTGCTCCACCCTTCCCGCCATTGGCCACTTGAACACGTACATTGCCAGCATTTATGCGCTTTTGGAAGCCAGCATGGAGAACTACTTCCGCACCTCACCGGAGAATGCTCCTTGGCACGCGCCCAGTTGGCAGGGTCTGATAGAGGCGCTGAGCATGTCCCTGCCCAAGCTGGACCTCATGCCGATCATGCAGGGTGGCTATTTCTTCTCACTGCATGTTTTCGTGGTCTACAAGATGGAAGAGATCGCAACGGACGGTGACAAAGTGACCTTTTTGCAGGACCTCAGCCAGCTTCTGGAGAACCAAAAAACCAGCCCACTAACGGAACCACGGATGGCTCTTGTCTGGGGCGTGATTATTGCTCGTGGCTGTCAGATACTGCAGAGCAACCAGCAGGTTAAGAAGCCATTACACATGCTGGCAAGACACCTGCAGATTGCATCGACAAAAGCCGAAGGATGGGGCGATGGGCTGCTGGGCGTGATTGGTCTCAAGTCGGAGGTTATTACAAACAGGTGGGTTGTAGGACTACATTTTCTTTATCCTATATGAAACCTGTTACATTCTTTATTTCTACATGTTATCTCCAGCCGAAAAGTGTTGACCCGTTGTTTGGCCTGCGTCATCTTCTCATTATTTCCGGCCAACCGTGAACTCCGAATTCCATCAGAGGAGTACGAAAGCGCGGTTCGCGAGCTGTCCATGCTTCTGGCCAACAAAAAGTTCACCGACATCAAGCCCCTTATCGTTCGGGCCGTCAGCCTGCTCAAGGAGAACACCTTTCCCGATGTCCGGGCCGTGCCTCATATGATCTGTCGACTGATCAGCATCTTCTACGAGCAGAGCTACCTGACGACCATTCCAGAGATCTGGGACTTTGACTTCAAGCTTATTGTTACATAGCTTACCGACCAAGTGAAGCATTCTAACCATCCTAACAGCCAGTTGTGTTATTTTCCAGGTGTTATATATCATCTTACTAGGTTTAGGGTAAATAAAGTGATCGATTTTGTGCAATTTGCAAAATTGCAAAGAAATGTATTTGGCGACTTTCATTTGTGAAACATATAGTAAGTCTTCTTTCATCTTTTAGACTATAACTTTATTGGATATATCTCGAACGTGCATACTTGAAGCTATTTGTTTAAGCGTAGTTAAAATAACAATCTCGAAATCAGTACTGATTTATAAATTCTATGCCAATCAGGATCATCGACAATCTTGAATAAATGAATGTACAAAATTTTTAATACAATTGAACGAACTTTAAACAAAATATAAATACTAGACGAACGATAACAAATGAACATTAAAGGACTACTCTTAGGTATTGCTAAACATAAATACGGATAACGAAAGGGCAAAGCTCGTGACAAAAGAGCTTAAACGGAGGCAACCGGGCTCCGATTGGGCAGTCAGTCTTCCACGGCAAAATTGGACAGCTGCAGGTGCTGCAGGTTGTTGCGCGCATCGAAATACCCCGTATCCGTGGGATTGTCGGGTGTGGGCACAAAAGGCGGCTCCGTATTGCCGATATTCTCCCATTCGATGCATGCGAAGTGACGCATCTGCTGCACCTCCTTGGCAGCCGGCCGCTCGTTGGGATCCATGGTCAAAAGCAGTTCCACAGCCTCCATGGCATCGACGGATAACGCCTCATCACCCTCAGGCCATTCAATATCTAGAAGACAACGATGTACAATAAAATATAAATGCAGAAATATAACTTCTTACAAAAAGACAACTTACTTTTATTCAGAATGTTGTCAAATACTTTCTGAGGCGTCTCGTCGTTAAAGGGTGGAATGCCGGTCATGAACTCATAGAAGCATACTCCCAATGCCCACCAGTCTACGGCGGGACCGTGACCTTGCTTCAGCAGCAGCTCCGGAGCCAGATAATCGGGCGTTCCCAAGATGCGTTCGTTCGAAACCCGCGCCCCGCGACGCACTGACTTTGGAGTGCGGAATGGTGTATTGATGTTCACGTTTTTCGGTGTCTTTGGCAGAATGCCGGCTCCATGGTTGATAGGCGACATGGTGGGATCGTCGGATAGTTTCAGATGGTAGTGCAAACCTGACATTTTTTCGGAGGCTGCGTGTTCCTTCTTCTTGTTTTCGATGGAAAGGGGCAGAGCAAAGCGAGTTGCCTTCAGTTTTCCCAGCAGACCGCCATCACGACGTGGCAACTTCTGTGAGGAGACGGGCGTAGAAAATACCACATTGGCCACATTCGCCTCCGGTCCGAGCAGATGGTTAATGGGCATCTCGTCATCCGATAGAGAGCGCACCTTGAGGACCCCTCGAATCGGCGAAGAGCGCGCCTTGCGCTTCTTGGGCGTGCTGCTGCCAATGTTGAGGATCTCGATCTCCTGGGTCAATCCGGTGTTGGCGCTGCCATTGCCCGAACTGGAGCCATCGGCTTCCATACTGGACATGTTGTCGGAGCGGTTAACCAGGTTGATCTTCCGCTTCATGCCGCGCAGAAAGTCGGGACGCTTGAAGTGCTTGGACAGATTACGAAACGGAGAGTTCATTTGGATCCCGCTCATCTCGTTGCCGTTTGTCATATTGTAGCTCCGCGAGTAGTCAGAACAGCTAAAGTCCTCCTTGGACTGGCTCAGGTTCTCCGCATTCTTTTCAATCGACGAGGCCGTGCTTTCGCTGTTCAGATTCAAATGACAGCTGGAGTAGTCGTCGCCCTTGCGACTTGAAACGCCCGAATCCTCTTGCCCTTTTAGGATCCGATTCCGCTAGGGAGGGAAAAATAATCAAATTAAAATTGGAACATAAAAATTACAGGAGCACAGAAAACTTGATTAAAGCATTAAAATTTTTCTTAAGTTGTAGCCCTTTAGTACAGAAAAGAAAACAGGACAAGAGACAATCACACTCATGCACATGCCAACGCACCTCGTCGACCGATCGCCTGCGCATCATGGAAAACTCAAAAGATGCCTCGCTGGCATTCTCCAGCTTAGGCAAATGTTTGCCTCCATTGGTGGCCATATTACCGCTGTCCTGCTCGGCCAGTTTGCAGCCCTTATTAGAGAGTCAACCATTTATACAAATCAAAGCAATATTTACTGGTTTACTCCAGCCGCAGACTTACCTGGCAAGGAGCCAAGTCCAATGCGAACTCCACGCGACGTTTGCTGGGAATCGCATCCACTGCGGCAGCACCGACTCCATCCGGCTGCAGTGGAGGCGAGCACTTGCTCAAATCAGCCGAATTGCAAGTATGAAACGAGCATGATGAGCTGCTATCCTGGGGCTAAAGAGATAAAACAGGAACAATAAATACACAGAACCTCAAAATGTACATAATCAAATGTTAAATTAAATTAATATGTATTAAAATAATAATTGTAACTTTAAAAATTATGAAACTTTGCAAATCTCTACACTAAAGACAATAATAGTTTTGAATTAAAACTGTTCAAAATTTGACACTGGGCTTGGGAAGTTAGATATAGAACAATTAAACAAAGTCTTCCTTACTGTCAAGACAAAGGTAGGTATACCCACATTGATGTTAGTCGTGCACGTGTGGGTTATAGATTCATTGGCTTCTTCAGCGGAAAAGAAAGGGGACACTCCGGAGATCTTGCTGTCGCTCGTCTTTTCAGCATCGTTAAGTGAGGTGTCGGCTTCGCTGTCCGACAGCTCCATAATCAGACTGTGCTTGTTAATGGCCTGCAAAAAGTGTGATGTACCGGTAGCCACCGCTCCCATTCCGATGGCTTGTCCACTTGCAGAGGAACCAAAATCCTGCAGCTTTTTTTCTGAGCCGAAGGACAAATGCGAGGTGAGCGACAGAAGCTGTCCCGGCGTGCGGGCATTTAGATTCGGAGAGCAGTTTATGAGGTCCGATATCTCTAGATCTCGTCGCATATCGATCTTGCTCAGCCCAAAGTCGGTGAGCTTCACGTGACCAGTCGCCGAGAGCAACATGTTGTCCGGCTTGATGTCGCGATGCACAATTCCGTGCTGGTGTAGGTACTGTAGTGCCATTACCATCTCGGCAACATAGAATCGGGAGGTGGGCTCGTCAAAATACCCAAACATGGCCAGCAGTGATTTAAGGTCACCGCCCACCATGTACTCCATCACCAGGTAAACGTAGGACAGCGATTGCAGCGAGTAGAAGAGACTCACGCAGAACTCCGATCGGGAAAGGGCCAGAGCATTTCTCTCGGTAATCACCTGGGAAACCATGTTCTTGTTAATCATCTCCGACTTTCGCATCACCTTGATGGCGAACAACCGCTTTGAATCGTTGTTCTTGTAGCCCAAAAACACCTTTCCAAAGGCGCCGCGGCTAATTGGCTTAATGATAACAAAGTCCTTGATTGTCGGAAGCTGAAAGGGAGAATACAAATATAATGATTATTGAATTTCAAAGTATACACCTCGTTCCACAGAAAGAAAATATAAAATCAAATCTACGCGGTTATCTGATTTATTGATGCTTTGAATTACCATCAAAAAGAATTGTAAAGAAAGGAAGAAATAATGTGAGGCAAAATTGATAATACTGTAAAGATGTTCTTGTTCTCTCATACACAGAATTGATGTAAATATGCATGTGATTTTAGAATATTTTCTAAAGAATACAATTTAAATGATTGCAAAATGAATGTATCAATAATTTTTAATCATTGTCTAGTTCTATGTGATTATTCTTGAAGCTTAACGATTTCGGCCGCATTTCAAATTTTCCTTTGGAGCAACGGCTAACTGTAAACCGCCCACGTGAGAAACTCTTAACACCATTAATTCTGCCGCCTACCTTGGCATTCTGGGAGTGATTCTCCGGTTTGGTGGTGAGTATGTTGATCTTGTCCAGCAACTGTTCACTGTCTATCAGCGACTGGGTCTTTTTCGGGGTTTTGTAGTCGATTTGGATATCCGATTGCGAAGTCGCATCGGCGGTTTCCATATCTCCAAGATTTTCAATGTTTAGAGCGTGTATTATCTGCTGTTTTCAATACAATTCAGTTGTGGTGGGTGCCACGCAAGCCCTTCCTTTATATCGAAATTGGGTTTACACCTATGACTCCTTTATTGCACAATGAAATTTTTAAAAACACATTTAAAGCAGCGCGTCTATTTTTTTGGTAGTGCCCTTTCAGTATGACCAAACACCGACAAGGCTCGAAAACCTGAAAAAAATACCAAAAAATTGGCGCGAGTTTTGCTAAAATATACTCATATTTAAAATGTAAAGCCGTTTAACATGTGTTTATCAAACTAGCCTCGGTAACTTAGAGGCGATTAGGGAGCGAAGAAATTTGTAATTTGGAGCTGTTTTTATTTTCTCGCGACAAAATCGAAATTTCTAGGAGATCCAATCGAAATGTAAAGGATTTAAAAGTATTGTTTTCCCTATCGTAAGCAGGGTATTCCTATTAAAAAAATATAAATATATATAAGTATATATATATAATTTGAGCCATAGTAAAGATAAATATTTTATTATTACGCCTTTTTTAAACCATTACGGCAAATAATGACGGAAGCCAGAAAGGTTTTTTACCAAACAATTGCAATAGTCTAAAACAACTAAGCTATCGATTACAGCTCTATCGATAATTTGACAGCTCAGTGCTCGCCCCTGGAATTATTTACGTGCCTAAATTCCAAATTTTCAACTAAGACAACCGCCTCCCATGAATGAAAGTGAGGTCGGTACACCACCTGAACGACAGTAAGCAATGTGCCAGAGGTTGATAACCCAGAACTGACGCCCATTGTGAGGAGTCGCCTGCCAATCCGCCCGCGAATTCCCCGCCAGAATGATGCTCTACTTGCGCCGCCTTTTTAGCCAGGAGCTCGCTCCGGCGGGCCAGGGTGACTTCCTCGGCTGCTTGCAACAGGCGCCTAGTCTGTTAGCCAACGGATTCTCGGGAGCACCGGCCCTGGAAAGCCTCAGCTGGTTACACAATCTGGCACCTTGCTTCCCGCTGCGTGGCGACCAAATCCAGGTCATCCACGAGCCCCAGCACTTCTACGAGACGTTGGTCCAGCGCATCGGGAGGGCCAAGCGCCGGATAGTTCTGGCCAGCTTGTACCTGGGCACCGGTCAGCTGGAGAACGCCGTGGTCCAGACGTTGCGTCACAGTCTGGAAAAGCAGACATCCCTGAGGTTAAATGTGCTTCTGGACTTTACGCGAGGAACGCGTGGAGCTCTCAACTCAAAGACCATGTTGTTGCCGCTGGTCCGTGATTTTGCCAGCCAGGTACAGCTCTCCCTGTACCACACTCCTGACTTGCGCGGAATGACCAAGAGATTGGCCCCGCCACGATGGAACGAGCTGCTTGGGCTGCAGCACATGAAGGTCTATCTCTTCGACGATGCTGTAATCATCTCAGGGGCAAATCTGTCCAACGACTACTTCACTAACCGCCAAGATCGCTACATACTTATCGAAGATAAGCCGCTGGCGGATTTCTATGCCCAATTTATCGAGCGCGTTCAAGAATTTAGTTTAGCTGTGGCGCCAGACGCTAGCGAGGGACTGCATTGCAATTGGCGCATCCTGCCGTACGAAGGCACCAAGGAGCAGTTCATCCAGCTGGCCCGCCAGCGAATCGCTGACTTTCTGCAGGAGACCTTTCAACGGCAGACGCGAACGAGGGAGCAGAATCTGCAGGCGGACACATGGGTTTTTCCTCTGCTGGAGATGGGCCAGATTGGCATACATCATGACAGCGTGGTGACCAAGCGACTGCTCTCCAGCTGCGTTAGTGGATCACGACTAAAACTGGCCACCGGGTACTTCAACCTGACGCAGGAGTACATGGACACTTTAACGCACAAGTGCCTGGCGCAGTGCAGCATCCTTATGGCTCATCCTAATGTGAGTGTTCAAGTTCATGGCATAAAGATATAAGTTTTAATAACAGTCAAACATTATTGGATAAAAATCTTTTTACATTTCTAGGCAAATGGCTTTCAGGGCGCCAAAGGACCGGCAGGCGGAATACCGGCGGCCTACTCTTTAATAGCTAAGAGCTTCTATGAGAGCCTAGTGCGCCGCAAGCAGAACCATCGAGTCAACTTCTTTGAGTACGAAAAGCCCGGCTGGACGTATCATGCCAAGGGTCTGTGGTATTACCTACCCGAGGCCCGATTGCCAAACCTCACGCTAATTGGCTCGTCGAATTTTGGCGAGCGATCGGTGAATCGTGACTTGGAGACGCAGGTGTGCCTGGTAACGGCCAACAAGGATTTGAGTCAGCGATTGCAGGCGGAGGCGGACCGGCTTTACGACCTGTCACAGACAGCGGAGCGGGAGATCGTCCAACGACCCGTGCCGCGATGGGTTCAGGCCGTCGTACGCATATTCAGGAACTTCTTCTAGGCTCTTCGACACCATAGTTAATTTTTTTTCGTTCTTGTTAAGGCCCATCTCCCAAATAGTTACTGTAGTTCTTAATTCGTGTTAAATATTTGCCCTGGGCAAGTGTGTGTTTATATTGCTGGTAATTGTTGCTTTTGTACGCAGGATAAAGTTTGTTAACTAATAAAGAGAATTTTTAACGGAATTGAGAGTAAGCACAAGGAAGTACAATGATGTGTTCTTATCACTAAGCGGAAGCAAAAGGTCATGCACATGGTTAATAAAAAAGCCAGCAGTTGTGTTGTTATCACTTAAATGATTATAAAACAGTTTCCTTTTTTCTTGATGTTAACTATATCGAACAAAGCTTAAAATTTAGAAAACCAACAAAGAACTCATAACTAACTCGTTTAATAAAATAAAACTTGAATTTTATTTATTTTATTTTAAAATCTTTTGTGTTATGGAATTCGAAAAAAACTAATTTCCTTGCTAAAACTGAAAAATGTCATTCAAAACTCCCGCCTTTTTGGTAGTGATGACAGCTTTCACTCAATAACAGTAAGAAATAATCGTTAATAAAATCAAATAAACCATAATAAGTTCTTAAGCATTAATTCAAAAAGGTTTAACCAAAACAAATGTTCAAAAATAAGAAAACAAATTAAACAGCAGCTATAATTAAAATTCGGTTATCGCACCATAATAAAAAAAAATATCACCTAGGAAACTAGCAGTCTTTAAATTATATAATTTTTTAAGACTCAAACGAATAAGTTTGTACGCTATTGATTTTTTTTCTGCTAGAAAAAAACATTCAAATTTATATTACGATTTGAAGGATTTTTTAGAGAATTCATCATTGCTGAGGAGCTTTTGGAAAAAACTCTTTCACCATCTGGCAGCATCGGTTAGTCAGCTGTTTGTTTTTGGCCAGGTAAGACGCCAGCTTATCTGCGTGCCAAGTCGGCAAGCGCGTTAAACGTTTGTGTTTGCTCGCCGTGAAAGTTTAATTAAAATAAATCTTATTATCGCCAAACAAAAACAAAAAAAAAAAAAAAAAAAACGCGGCGCGTGCTCACTAAAGTGTTGTTGGTGCTGCGATAGTGTTGGTGCCCGGCTAGCAAGGCATGTTTGTGTACGTGTGTGTGAACTACAAATTCCAAGAATATAACAAGAGCAAAAACAGGGCTTGCAAAAATGTCAAACAGGCGCAGAGGGCGGACACTTGATTACCTGGCGCTGCAGCAAAGTTTGCAATTGCAAAGGACACCGGCAACGAACCTGGAAAAGCAAGACGGGGAGGAGGAAAATGGCAATGGGAATTGTACTGCTTCATCTGAGGAGACCCTACCACCACAACCCCCTATTCCGCCCATAAGATTACGACGGGAAAAGAGCATCGACGAGGATGTTGCAAGGTGAGCGCACCGGTACCATCGGAATTTTTGGGGTTTTCCCCACTGCAAACAAAAACAAGAAAGTCTGCATTGGCACGTAACAGCTCTCTTCCTCTCTCGCTCTTTTTTTATCACAAAGCCTTGCTTGTGGTTTTCCCCGCTACCAATCTCTCTCTCTCTCTTGGTCGCATTTCACCAGTTTTAATTGTTTAAACGTAAACAACGTGTTTTTGGGCCACGTTAAATTTGTTTTTGCTTCTGCTGGCTCAACGAACTCCAGAATTTAGCAAATCGCAAGACAGACACAAAAATATAACAACAAATTGCAAATTCTGGCTGAAATTGAACACTTTGTGTGCAGCGCAATTAAAATTATGCATGGTTCCACTGCGAAAAAATTTTAGTATTCTAATAGAGTGTTACCAAAGTTAAAACAATATTTTTATTATAAAAGGCAATAAATAGTAATTACTTTTATAAAAAGATTACATTTTTCAAGTACAAATATTGCAAGTTGTAAACTGTATGTATAAAGTTTTCGACTTCACTCTGTTTGCCTCGTTTTTCGGTGTATTTTGGCATTTATCATAGCCTTTTTTTGTGTTCGCCCGCTGCGAGTCTTCCAAGATATTTGCTGATAACGCTGACGGCCTGATAACACTTACACACACTCGCACTCACCTTGAGGAAATTACGGATACCTTTTTTTTTGTGTTCCCTTTTGCGTGGGGGCTTAATCATAATATGTTTAAATTTGATTTTCATGGGGCGAGTGAGTGATAATGGTGGTTTCGCCGGAAAAACGAATGTCGTATGTTACCAGGAAATTAGCTGCAAAAATAAATTCTTTTTAGCACCTGCTCCTATGGAAACTAAGTGAAATTAGGTGAGATTTATGCGTCTGCTACGCGCTCTCCGGCTTTGGCTCCCTCTATCTTTTCGTACCTTTTATTAAAATGTGAAATGGGTATATCGCATTTGGGCAAAACTGCGTAATATGTAAAACTAATAGGTTCCGAACGTATACTTACATGTTTCAACCGATATGTTTTTAATAAAAAAAAGATTTTATTTATTCATAAAATTGTTGTAAGTATAATTGTTTGTAAAATCAATGTATTTGGGTATGAGGTTTTATGAAAATTAAATATATTTGATATAATACAACAGACTACACACTTGCATTTATGTTTGTTGTAGGGTAATTCATAGTTGTCACATCTCCACCCGTATGTTTTTCTTCACTTTATCTCTCGCTTGATGCCGCCAATCTTGTTCTTCTTCAACTGGTATACCTGTTTTAAGGGGTTTATTATAAGAAGTGGTGGCGGAGGGGTGGCTATTGGAAGTTAAAACGCGTTTAGTACGTGCGTTTGCGCACTCTGCTTTGTAACCTCTTTCGTTATTCTGTTTTCAAATCGAATTCGCTTTCTTCTCAAATCTCCGGTTTCAAAGTTTTGTGTCACCTAGCCAAATGAATGGAATTCCAATGATTGAAGGTTTCTTGACTAACTGTTTTGACCGAGAGAAGGAGAGAGACAGAGATTTTAAATGAGTGAGTGAGAGAGCAAGTCCGAATGGGCGGGCTCTTGCAACACTTGTAATGGCATTTGTACTTGAACTTGCAGGTTTTGTCTCTCTCTCTCTGTTTTAGCCATCTCACCCTCTCCTTGGGCAATCTAGCATGCGTGCCGTACAATCAGTTTTTTTTTTGTTTTTTGTGTGTTTGATAAGCATAATTATAGCCTGTACATTGTACACATTGTACACATATCTGTACATACATACATCAAAAAACATTTCCGCATCACCCACACTCTCACACGTGCCCCTGTCATTAACAGTAATTTTAGACTTTTTTAAATGTGCTTTTAGATACTATGTTTACTCAAGAAAATAGCAGGGAACTATCATGAAGTATTATTTATAATTTTGAAAAATTTGATTTCTACATCGAACACAACAAAAATTGTGAGAGTTAACTTTTATTGAGGGCATTGCAATATCCTGTTTTCCAATTACTTTGGTTCCCGCGAACTCAAGCTATCAGTCAGTAAGGAAATTTATCAATTAGTCATTCCTAACCGATCGTGTTATTGATTTTTCAATGCCTTTTGAATGGCGACAACGGTGCGAATGCGCAACTAACATAGAAAACCGTCATATGAAAATGAAGTATACGCACCGTTGGTCACGTGACAGTGCAGAACCAGACAGAAATGCCACTGAATAATGAGGTACATTTTCACTTAACACGAAGAAAGTTGATAGACTGAATCCAAATTGATATCTTCGATTTTCCTGGGTATCTTAACCACCTGGTGGAATAAACATTCTGCGCCCACTTTTGGTTCTCTGTTTGGGTAAACACACTGCTAATTAGCTAACGAGCTCGTACATAATAAAATTCTATAAATTAATAATAAATATTCGCGCGGGTAAGCCAATTGCAAACCACAAACAAATGCTGATGCGGCCCACAAACGATCAGATAGCCACTTGCGTTCCACAATAAATCTCTCTCGCCCGTTGGGGGCTCTCTACCTCGTCTTGCGCTCTTTACCTGTCAGTTTCTCCTCTCTATCACAAATTATCTCTCCATCTCTCTGGGGCCCTGTGTTGCCAAGATCAGTTAATGTTGTCTCCTAATTGCATAATATCTTGCCTGTAAAACCATTTATCAACCAATACTATCAAAACAGCTAACTTAAAATCTGTTGTAAAGTCTTATTAACTCATATTTTATTTGTGGAACGACGGCTTTTAAAAAGCTAAAACGTAATCTCTGTTTTGAAGTGGCCACCCACTAGTTGCTCTCTTCTGCTGATGGCGGTAAACAATCGGATGCGTCGGCTGGGCGCTCACTCTCTCGCTTTTCAGTTCGCGGCAGTTGGCAGAGAAAAGCAGTCGTTTTCTGGAGGCGACTCCGCTTCGTCGGTCGCGGCACACACTCGGTTATATATTACAAAAACAGATCCGTATACTATACGCATTGGCGAAATAGATGGGGTGTATTCTTGTTAAAAGTGCTAATAAATTGACTGGGTGCGTTATGAAATTCGAAAGGGTTCGGTGTGAGGCGTGCAAAGTGCGGCCGCCTGTTTGCCAGTTGTGATAAACCCAGGAAAATACAACTACTACCGTGGGAGATAGTGCATAACCCCCCAGAAAGATTCCACCGATCGGGAAAGGGAACCGGGTGCCGGGGATCGTCCAGTCATCGTTCGCTGCCCCGCGTCTAAAGTTCTCTCCATCAGCTTTATAATTGTGAGCTGTTGATTTTTTTTATTGACTCTCAGCTCGTTCCGCCGTTGTTTTTGTCCCCGGAGTGGGTTGTGCCGAGCAATTAGATGTACATAAATTGGCTGTGGGACTCCCGATCTCGCTCTGGCACCCACCGGAGAGTCTGAAAATAATAACAGCCCTCGATCGCGGCAATAAAACACAGTTTAAACTCACGGCACTATCAACCAGTGGGGAAAACGAAAACAAGAAGAGGCCTGCACTCTAAAGTTTTCTCGTTTCGCTGCGACTCGCTGATTTCTGCCGGTTTTGGAGCTATTGGACTCGAGAAACTCTGATTCCCCAAGCTGCACGCAAAATGCGTCGGAAGAAGTAAGTGAATTTCGCAAATTTGCTGATGAAAAGTGTGGCGCGATTGGCTCAACAATCACACGATTAATTGCCAGCCAATGTTGGCTTTTTTTTTGGTCTAGAATAAATCAAACCTCTGCTCAAATTAGAGCATAATCGCAAGCGTGACATGCGGCTGTCTGCAGCAACAGCAGCAGTCAGATAAGATAACAATGTCCCAACTAAAACTCCTCACTCGTCATTCCCATCCATATAGCAACCAATTTCATGTAATGCACGAAAAAAAAACATTTGAAATTGGTAGGTTATCAACATATTTCAAAACTATGCTGTAAATACCAATTTTGAAGTAATCTAAGGAAGTGCATAGGTAAAGATGAGTTATATAACGTTTAGCTTAATTTTTTATGAAAAAGCTAAAGAATGCGGAAGAATAAAATTGCAACGAATGGAATACCTATAATTTTTATGAAAGCCTACCAACTTCAATTTTTGCTTTTAAAATAACCAACTGCAAGCAATAAAATGTAAAGTAAATCTTTTTTAGAGCATCGCAAATGTTTATTTCAAGTTTTTTCCGAGTGCAGTCGGTGTATTTATCTATGTTATCGGCGATTAGGCGGCACTTGTCCGCCGTTGCAATTAGCGAAACAATTAGGACAAGCCCCCAACTCCAGATTACCACGAATAGACTACCGGCCATGACATCCAACCTCGTGTTCATCTGTATTTTTATCTTGCAGAGTGGAGTACCGCGTCAAGCAGACGCCTTCGCGACCACTGCCGATGGCAGGTGGTCGGATTACAGACCTCGAGGAGGACATGCCGCCGGAGGACGAGCTGGCCCACTATGAGACGTTTGGGACTACCCCACCTCGAACCAGGCTAAAAATCAAGAACCGCGACTGGGAACGCAAACAGAAGGTGGTCAATGTGGCGGCGTGAGTATTGACAATCATTACTGGGTGCTCCATATGGCTGGCCGAGATACATGAATAATAATATATGGCACTAGGCGGGATGCGATAAGGGTTTGAGTCCGTGCTAGGGACGTGATCGGGAATAGTGCCGAAAGCACTTGCTCTAAATGGCCATATGCTACCATATGCTGCACCTGATAGTGCCATCTCTATGGCTGATGTCATCCCTGCAACCACAGTTGTCATTCGAAAATATTGGAAGGTCTTATTGGGAATCATATAAAGGTCATGCCAAAAAGATATGAATTTAGACTTTTAAAAATTTAAATTAGGAATTATCAATTATTATTATTTTAACCTTTTTTGTACTTTTTGTATTTTTTATTCCAAAATTGTCGTTAATAAGTTAACTCAAGATTAATTTTATGTTTCTTTTTTAATCTAATAAGTAATAGCTTTAAAAATATATGGAATACATTTTAATCTTAGCAATTGTTTTTTATTCAAATTATTAAAGTCATTTTCTGATTAAGTGGTTATAAACGAAGCCAAAAAAAAGATGAAATTTAAATGATTTAGTATGACAACCGTGAGCTCAGCTCTAATATTTTCCATCGATCCCTTTTTAATCCACATATTTTAGTTCCGCAGACTTACCGGCCAGTGTGGGAGGTACTCCCAAGAAGGGCAACACCAGAATGGCTCGATCCCGCGTCCTGCGGCGCAACACCATGGATTGCGCCCTGCTTAACGAGATGTTCGTCAATGAGGAGAACAAGCGGACGGACAAGCGACTGCAGTCGCTGCTCCGCGACTCCGAGCGCGAGATGAAAAACTCGCTGGCCACGACGGCGGTGGCGCCTCCGCGGGGCAGCAGCTTTCACGAGACTGCCCATCCCCTTGAGTCTCTGGACCAGATCATGCCGCTCAGCTCGGAGGCGGCGCCGCCGATACCACTGCGAATAGCCTCCAAGGTGGTAGAGAGCTGCAATCGCTACCGCTGCGTGTCTTCGCGTCCAATTGGCTATCGCTCTTCGGCGCCGCCATTGGCCTTTGCAGCACAACTTCCTGCTGGAATGTTGAGGAGCGATGGAAGGGCCACCGCTGGACTGGGGAAACGAAAGGACTTCCACGAGACGTTCGCCAATCTAATTAAGCTGGGCAGCGTCGACCGACAGGATGCCAAGCTCTCCCAAGAGGAGCACACCTGGCAGACGGAGCTAAAGGATCTCATCTGGCTGGAGCTGCAAGCCTGGCAAGCCGACAGAACTGTGGAGCAGCAGGACAAGTACCTGTTCGAAGCGCGACAAGGTGTCTCTGAACTCCTTACCCACATCATTAACTACAAGTTCCAGCCGCGCTACCGCCGCGAACCGAGTTTGATTAGCCTGGACAGCGGCATCCATTCCGACAGCAACTCGAATGCCAGTTGTAAGTCTGCCAAATCCTCGCAATTTAATTCTTTATTCAATCCCCAACTCTCTTTTAGCTCCTTTGCCCAGCAAAATGTGCCAAGGCTGCATGTCTCTGTACTGCAAGGATTGCATGGATCATCAGGAGTTAGCTCTGCGCGAGGTGGAGGGCATGCTGACGCGACTGGAAGCTGCCGAGGCTTTGTATCCCTCCTCGCAGGCCATGGGCGCCCTGCATCCCATATACAAGTCGCAAAGCTTTGTGGGTCGCATCAAGTCCATGTGCTTATGGTATAACATTACCAAGCAAAACAAATTGAAGCTCAGTATTTTGGGAAAGATTCTGGCCAGGTAAGAAAGGGGATTTATCTTATTCTTGTTGGCACAAAACTAAGCAATAAATATTGTTGCAGGCTGCAGGATGAAAAGTTCTCTTGGCCCGTCTGCACATCATCCTACATCGCATCGGACAGCGGCAGTTCGTCTGCCTCGGGTGTGGAAAACGATGATTCGGCGGTTAACTCGATGGATTCATCGAAACCGCCCAGTGTGGCAGGATCCGCCTCGCGTAAGGGCTGTCGCAACGGAAGTGTGACGCCCTGCCACAAGGTGCAGTTCATGCTAAACGATGCAACCCATGTGCCTGGCGAGACGTCAAGTAGTAATGAGTGAGTGGATCAAGTTAAAAACCCTAAGAAAATATATATAATTAAAATACTCTTTCAGATCCACCTCCACGGAGATCAGCCAGTTGTCCAGCGAGTGCTCACACGGCCACATGCGCAAGGGATCGATGCACGACATCAACATCTTCAGCGTGGAGCCCTTGGGTACTTGCAGCAACAATGGAACTGGAGAGCAGTCCACAGGGTTGTATCGCAAGTTCATAGAGAATGTGCTTAAGAGTCGTGGACTCGCCAAGTCGCTGGCTTTTCTCCACAAGCTGCATAACGTTGCGTTGTACAAGGCGCACATTGCTCTGGAGAAACCGGGAGCGGAGGATTTCGACTACGAATTGGACTCGGAAGCTATTGAGGAGGACGTGCCACGACTAGATCCACAAATCAGCCGCGAGCAGGTCGTGGAACTACGCACCTACGGCTATTGGAGTGAGGAAGCGCAATCGATCAATCTGCCCTCGTACATTCCCACCTTTGTATTCCTGAGCGGCATTCCGTTGCAGTTCATGCACGAGTTCCTGCGCATGCGTCTCGAGACGCGACCAGTGCGACCGAATCCCCTGAGTCTGGAGCAGTTGATGAAGGAGCTGAGGGAGGGCCTGACCCTGGCATTGACCCATCGGGAGCGCTACCAACGGCACATAACCACAGCACTGGTGGAGAACGAGGCGGAATTGGGCAGCTACATTAGCATTCTGAATCACTATGACGCGACGGTGCGAAAGACGTTTGAGCTGTACTTGGAGTACATTGACCAGCTGGTGCTGGTTGCCGTTCCGGAGGGCAACCAGAAGTCCGTGCTGGAGAAGGAGTGGATGTTCACCAAGCTCATTAGTCCCATGATCAAGGGCATGCACACGCTGGCCTCGCAGAAGTTCTGCGGCATCATCAGCAAATTGTTGCGGAACATTTCGGAACGACTGGTGAAGCGAACCGTGGAGCTGGACCACCAGATCGATGGCACTGCCGAGACTGATGACAGCGAGGAGGTCAAGTGGCAGCTGCTGACCATCTGCCGGGAAACGCAATCCCTGTTAACTGTTGAGCGGGAGCGATCCATAAAGGTGCTCTTCTTTGCCAAGACCTTCTGCCGCGACGTGGAGACAACGGACTTCCATCGCGAGCACTACGAGCACGACGTGGCCAACCAGCAGCACGATTTCATCTGCTCGGACGTGAAGGCGGCGTTTAAGTTGCTGCAGCAGGATGTCTTGCAGGTGCGCAACAAGCTGACGGCGATTATCGAGGGCGTGCAAAAGCGTTGCTGCTTGAGCAACATGCGGGATTTGGACGAGCAGGACAAGCAGGCGGTGCTGTCGCGAACCCGCGAGATCCTTCACCAGGGCTACAAGTTTGGGTTCGAGTACCACAAGGACGTAATCAGATTATTTGAGCAGAGGATCATGGACCAAAAAGACAGCGGGGCTCATACGGTTGATTTGGCTTTGGGCATTATCGCCTACGCCAAGATGTGGATGCACTTTGTCATGGAGCGTTGCGAACGTGGACGGGGCATGCGCCCTCGCTGGGCTTCCCAGGGATTGGAGTTCCTGATTCTTGCCTGTGATCCGCAGATCACCCAACACCTGGACGATGGCGAATTCGAGGCGTTGAAGCAGCAAATGGATCGGTGTATCTCGCACGTGATTGGCATCACCTCGGAACCGGAAAAGGTTGCCAAGAAGAAGGCATCGCCACGCACCCGCAAGACCTCGTCGCCGGCCACCTCGCGCTCCCGTACACCCACTCGGACTCCCATGTCCGCTGGCATGGTGCTCAATCCGAATACGCCGCCACTGCAGTCGCCGCCGTACAACAAGCTCCTTCATCCGCAGTTCAGTCTAAAGGAGGATCTGCTGCAGCAGTCTGGAAACACGTTCAGTTCCGTGGACAGTGCCGATTATGTGGACACTCCTTGCCAGAGGAGTTCAAATGGCGAGCTGCGACTGCTGGTGCCGCAGACGCCGCCAACGCCAGCTTCTTCTGGAAAGGGCAGCATAGAGAGCACGCCGCTGGCATTGCGGCAAGAACGAGTCAGAGATGCAGTTAATCGCTTGGACATGGATCTGGAGGACGGACTGCGCGAACGCAGATTGATTGGTCAGGTGAAGTCCCTCAACTCCAGCGACAAAGTGCACATAAGAGCACGTAGCGTCCACTTCCGTTGGCATCGCGGCATTAAAATCGGCCAGGGACGCTTTGGCAAGGTGTACACGGCGGTGAATAACAACACGGGTGAGCTGATGGCCATGAAAGAGATCGCAATCCAACCGGGCGAGACGCGGGCACTGAAGAACGTGGCCGAGGAGCTAAAGATCCTGGAGGGAATCAAGCATAAAAACCTGGTGCGCTACTACGGCATCGAGGTGCACCGCGAGGAGCTGCTCATCTTCATGGAGCTGTGCTCCGAAGGCACGCTTGAATCGCTCGTGGAGCTGACTGGCAATCTACCGGAGGCCCTTGCCCGACGCTTCACCGCCCAGCTGCTGGCTGGTGTGTCCGAGCTGCACAAGCACGGCATCGTGCATCGCGACATCAAGACTGCAAACATCTTCCTCGTGGACGGCAGCAACAGCCTGAAGCTGGGCGATTTCGGATCGGCGGTCAAGATCCAGGCGCACACCACCGTGCCCGGCGAGCTGCAGGGCTACGTGGGCACCCAGGCATACATGGCACCGGAGGTCTTTACGAAGACCAACAGCGATGGCCATGGCAGAGCCGCCGATATCTGGTCGGTGGGCTGCGTGGTTGTCGAGATGGCCTCGGGCAAGGTGAGTGCTTTACACTATGGAATTGTAGATAAGCATGACTGCGCGACGTAATTTTCCGTGCATTTCACCATGTTGGTTATTTGCGATTCGAAGTAGTAAAAGTTTTTTAAAAGGAAGAAGTGTATAAATTAATTTGATCCAATCTGAATAGATCACTAAAAGAATTCATAAATTGTAGTATAGTTTACTATGACACTTAATTTGCACTTATCTAAGGGTATCTAACTTTTCAAACTGAATGGATTAATGTGTGTATTGGGATATAAATGGTTAATATCAAGTATTAACCATATGCATTAACTTAATTAAGTTGGATTCCTAATTATATCCATAAGGATTCATTTCTTGTTAATAAATTATCGTTCCTTTTCTTTTACAGCGTCCTTGGGCCCAGTTCGATTCCAACTTCCAGATTATGTTCAAGGTGGGCATGGGCGAGAAGCCACAGGCGCCAGAGAGTCTCTCCCAGGAAGGACATGACTTCATCGATCATTGTCTGCAGCACGACCCGAAAAGGCGTTTAACCGCTGTGGAACTGTTGGAACACAATTTTTGCAAGGTAGACACTGATTCTTCCCCTTCTGAATGTAAATTATTAATATTGGTTTTATATGCAGTACGGTCGAGATGAGTGCAGCAGCGAGCAGCTGCAGATGCAGGTGCGCGGATCCTTCCGGCGGAATGTGGCGACCAGCAGCTAATTGCTGCCTGGACTTGTACTTTTTAAACCTCCGTTTTTTGACTCACCCGTACATATGATGCATATGTACAACGGTGCGCAGTTTGTTTTGTGTCTAATTTATGTGAATGTCGACTATCTTAAAGGCCACGCCTAGTTTTATGTTGGACAATATATAACCCGTATAAAATTATCAAAAGCCTGTCGTTCCGTATCCCAAGTCATTTAATGCAAGTGAAGATTACACGTATTTAATTATAATTGCTGTTGAATTTTTAATTCATAACTTGTCGACGGCCCTAAACAGCGTAATTTGGATAGATGGTGGAAACCTCCGGCGTGACCTGCGTACTTGGGGCATTCGGCGGTCCGGAGAAAGTAGAGCTTCCGTCACCGTCGACAGGAGCACCAATCGGTGGGGTTGGATCCGGAGGGGAGAGGCTGGAGAAGGCGGCGACCCACGAGGAGCACAGCATGAACACCAGGCACAGGCTTAGAAGCAAGTTGAAGTCTGCAACGGGTTGAGAGGCGTTAGCCAGATATTCCACGGGTTCTACTGGTTGTTACTCCTTTTTGCATACTTACACTTCATGTTGACGTCGCGAATGAAACTGTTGACGGGTTGTTGGCGTCCAGGCCTTTTTATTCTAACCTGCTTGGCCATGGGGTTATTTTGTATATTTTTAATTAATTTTTTAAACTACTATCTGCTAGTGGATTATCATTGGTCTCTTATCGACCTCACTTGGATATTAAGAACTGCGCCTTTGGATGACTGTTTTAAGCGGAAGGCGATTTATCTATTCTTGGAAGGTAGCGTGAAAAATATGACGAATATAGCCTCCGCAGCCGTAAGCAAATATATGTAGGAGAATTTTCATTCACCGGCAGATCAATTGTAGGTCAGGAATAAATGGTCTTGATTTGTAATGCATTTATTTTATTTTATTCGGTTCGTGATTATTTTTGCATACATTAATTGCGGCTCTTGGCCATGAAAACAATTCAAACTTAACGACAAACAGTAAGGTAACGCAATAATACACAGATTGAATACAGGACAGATAGGATTGGATAGTTTGTAGCGATAGTTCGGTTAACAGTTTAGAAGATAATCATACATATATAGCAACAATGAACACAGCAACTAGTTTGATATATGTATCTGGTTGTCCTTTAACGTTTCTCATATAATTTCTCTTGTAAATAACATACGTATAATATTTATGTATATATTTTTGTAGAATATTGATGGCTTGGAATCGCCATCCAAACATACGTTTTCACTAACGGCTTGAACAGACAAACACATATAGGTTAGCTGCAATCTCAATCTCTTCTTCTTGCCTTCCTGGGGTGTATATAAATTTATTGATATGTATTGTTACGTCTCAAGTCTATACGCGTACATTATTTCGATCCTTAACCGCTAAAAAAATATAACCGATAAGAAGTAAATGATGCAACACTGATTGCTTGTCGAGTTTTATTAATAAGTTTACGTAATTTTAAATTATTTGAGATCTCTTTTTTAACAAAACTGTCATGTTTACTTTGATGCTATTTTTTAAAACATTTTTCCGTTGTCGACAATATATGGACACAATTCAGTTATATACTTTTATAATTTTTTTATTTAGTTTTTTTTAACGTAAAATAATATACATATATTAAACCTGCCTCTATTTAAGCGGTTAAGGCTCGATATTCTCTATATATTCCTCTACGTTTTTCATATTGTTACGGGTTGTACATATATATTCATCCAAAAAGCCTTTAGTTACGGTATACCATTTGCTCTCTAAAACACGAAGTATATGGAAATATCTCAACAGACACTATATAATTTCCTAATAAATTCTCAAACGAACAACAACGAAATTGCAGTAACAAGCATAGAGAGTACTTTTAGTATATGTTTTAGCTAGTATCTTTTGTAACACCTATATAACGAATTCAAAACTCAACGCTCGTAACGAAAAGTATTGCATACTCGTGGGCCTGTGCCCCATAATTCGCGTACAGTAAGTTAGGGTAAACAAGTTGGTAAGCTCAGCTAATTTGGGTAGCATGTGAATTAGTATAACACTCATAATTTAAATTGCACAAGTAACACACTTAGATAACAGCACTAACAGTTTGCGCATAAAATGGCTCTAAAACATTTAATTGACTAGAGTTGCTCTAACTTCAACTACGAGGATACTTAGGTAAACGGATATGTAAAGCGAATGGGTTGCGTATAGTTTCTGTCTCAACTTGATAGTGATTGACTTTAGTTTTCGATATCGTAATCGTATTCCTCCTCGATCCCTCGGATCCTCCATCCCACCCCTCGTTGGGTGGCTCGCTTGGTGGTGCTTGGTCACAAAATGAAACGCCCGGGCGATCGCTAGTTACACTTACTTAGTTTCGTTCGCTAACCTGCTAAGGTACATTTACTGATATGTATTGTATGTTTGCCCCTCCTTTATTTTTGGGGGTATCTGCTGGATTGGGGGTATCTGCTCTCCTAATTTTGCAGCAGATCACGCATTATGTCCAGCGAGTCCTGCAGCGACTTGGCATATCGCGAGGCACTCGTGTCCTCGCAGGAATAGAAGGCCGACACGCAGAAGACGATCTGCTCCGGCTGTGGATTGTAGGAGCAGCCATAACCACGTGGCGTCACTGGTCCGTAGCCCATGAAGCTATCCGTGGTGCAGGCCACCTAGGAGGGTATTATCAAGAAGGTATTAAAACGATCCTTAGACCTTTAAAGGGAAACCGCAATGTGCAATATTTTCTAGCTTTTACCTACTTTTGCCATAGTGCTCAGTGGTGCTGTGGTGCAAGAATGGATTAGGTGGTGCATAGGTGGTTAAGTGCAAAGTGGTGCATATCTGCATGGAGTCACGCGAGAACAAGGACCTAATGGCTCGTAACTACCTGACTGGTGGAGAGCAGGAAGCACTGCGAGATGTTGTAGGACTCGTCCTTGAAAAGCTCGTGCATCTCGCCGGTGACTTCTATGCTGGCCTCCCTCAAGCCGAGGAGCGGGATGTCAATGCCGTTGCCCAGGATGTTCTTCACCATCACCTCCGTTTGGCGGGCGACGGCACAGCGGAACAGCTCACGCAGATGATCCTTCTGTGGGTGGCAGCGAATATAAGTTACTCATTCGGCTGTGGTGGGTACACCCACTCGTCGGAATACCCACACTGTAAATGCTAAACTTGACCTTGCGTGACTCCTCCTCGTCCTCCCTATCGCTCTCCAGGGGAACATTGGCGCCCTCGCCCTGGCACATGGCCTTGGCCCACTCCAACGCCTCCGTGCTGGCGGCTCTGATGCAGTCCACTCGACCCTGGAAAGGATTTTGAGGAGATCAGATGAATGAAGTTATGAGAAATATGCCAGAAATCAGAAAACGAATGAAACGAACTTAAAAATTATTTCTACATAATTTGAAAACAAATATAAAATATAATTAATTATTAATAATTAATAATTATATACCATTTTATTTATCAAATGAAAACTTGTATTCAAAAAAATATTGTTGAAGGTGATAAAATAGTCTTGGAAATATTTGTATGATTACTGCAACATAATGCAACAATATTCTCATAATTTATAAAATTGATGATATTTTGAGAGCCCTTTTTTGTTTATTAATCAGCATTAGCAATATATTTATTATGCATACTCACATGCAGAAATCGCCGTGTGGATGCACTTTCGTAGGTGGCAACCAGGTGTCCATAGAGCTTGAAATGGGCCAGTTGGAGGGCCAACTGGATGTACACATCCGGACTGACCTGACACGACTTGATGAAGGTTTTGCCGTAGCTCTGGTAGCGGTACACGTAGAAGTCCAGGTTATCGATGCATTTGTCCACGGTCTGAGCTGCCTGAGTGAAACGCAACTGTATTGGCTGGCCAACATGCCACTCTAAACGTTCCGGAGGTGGCAAGTGGTGTTGCGGCAGCCCATTGTCCTCATCCGGGTGCTCCTCGATGTTCTTGTAGATCTTCTCCAGCAGTTGGACTACAGCAATGCCTTCGGAACAGGAGTGCTCGTAGCACAGGCCCCAAGTTCCATCGGTGCAAATAATGAGCTAGGATTTCGTTTAAAAATAATTTATTTTTCACAATAGTTATAGAAAAGTTAAAAGATATATACGTTTATATTTGAATAATATAAAATTTGCTCTTATATTGTAAACTAGAGGGCCTGTGTCCGCTTCGCTGGTCAACACAATTTAACAACATAAAAGTCAATGTTGCAACATTTTTCAAATATATGGAAGTATAGAACGATGGTTATTTAACACTTTTCCAGTTTGACTTCTCCACTTGCGCAGCACAATCCAGCCGTTTCTCTTTTAAACTTTAACGCACTGCAATATCGGTATATAGTCGCCATTGGTCCAATATCTAAATTTTCATTATCACTGTATTTCGCAGTGGGATCATATTGGAATACCAAGCGATTGAATGATGCCAATGATCTCCATGTGCTCATTTGTCTTTCTTCGCTTAAGTTTTGTGAATATACTTGTTGCTGGCTTGGATGTCTGCGGCCAATGTTTGCACGTCGTCCTCTAAGCATTTTGGACTATGGACAGAATGGTGAATTAATCCTCAAATGCACGTTCAACATAATTTTCACAGTTCAACTTAAATTGAATAAAAATTCTTTTTTTTCACAATTTCACAGTGAACACAAAAATTGAGTTAAAATGCTAAGGGAGCGTGTTTGTCAGTGTGATGAGGTAGCAACTCACTTTATATGCGACAATACTGCAATTTTCTTACGGATCCTTAATTTTTTCAAAATAAATTATAGCCTATTTAACTCCACGATAATATAGCTTTCTATCGGTGAAAGAATTTTTTAAATCGGACCAGTAGTTCAGGAGCCTATTCCCTGCAAACAAACAAACAAACAAACAAACAAACAAACAAACAAACAAACAAACAAATTTTACCTCTTTATAATATTAGTATAGATAAGATTAAAACTGTAGACTTTTTATAAAAGTCAACCTTGCGTATGAGTAATTTCTGAGTATTACAGCTTACAAAAATATTTAGCGACCTTTGCTTATACTAATTTTGTTAATTCATAAAAAATATGTTGATAAAATATTATGATTTTTCATTGAAATAAAATAAAATAATTATCTTATATTTACTTTTGTAAATCAACAATCTTTAAGGGTAAAAGAGGTTTATACTTATTTTAACAATCTCACCTGCATGGTCTTGTCGAACCATCGGTTCCCGGAGTTGTACTCACTGCCTCCGCCGTGGATCATCTCGTGGGCCATGTTCGTCTCGTCCCGATCCCCGGCCCTGTGGACAGTGGGCGTGGCACCGGTGAAACCGCGTGCATTGAAGTTCCCAGCGAGGGGTTCGTCCAGGCAGAGCACCACCTGGGCGGTCTCGATGAGCTCGAGGTTGCGCTGGTTGCGCTCGTCCTGCTGCAACATCTCCCGGTCGAGGGCCCACCGGCTCCTTGGTTCGGCGGTCAGGAGACCCACTGGAGCTGGCTTAGCGGGCAAGCAGGGGGCATCGCTGAGGACATAGAGGATCTGCGAGGCGATCTCGCTCTCGGACAACTTGCCACGATCGCTGGCCTGCAGGACGACGCAGTACATCTGGTTGCGGCAGATGACCACCACGTGCCGATCCTCGTCGTTCAGTCGCTCCCGCGACGGCAGATACTGCGAGTCCTGCTCGACTCCTGGTCGACGACAGGATCCCAGCAGACGGTAGTACTGCGCCATGCACAGCGGTTGGTTCTTCTCCCGGGAGGCGGCTCGCTCCAGTGGCAACTCCCCGCTGTCCAGCATCTCCTTGTGGCTGAGGATGCCGTCCAGCAGGCGGGCAGCAAAGTGGGCCACATCGTGGACTGTCTTGAAGCGACGCGGCGGGAACACCATGCCCGGATTCGAGTTGATCGGCAAGGGGATGCGAACGTCCATGTACATCTCGTTCAGCCAGTAGTAGTAAGCCTGCCAAAGAAGTGATTTTCAAGTCATTATAAACAAGACATTATAAAGATATCCAAATCTGTAGTGTTCGAGTAAAACATTAAAGTGAAGCAAACAGTTAATAAACATTTTATTAAAATTATTCAATTAAAAAAATTAAAATATATATTTGTTAATAGAAACAAACAAAACAAATAAAATGTAATGAAAATATAATTTAAGGAAGACTTCAAAATAACAGCTTTTAGAATTATTTTAGTATTTTCATTATTTTTCACTTGCTATTTTTTTTCCTAACTGATTGAATATCTGAATTTTAAACAAAAATTTAAATATGTTTACGCACTTTTTTGAGGGAAAGGTCGAACATGAAAATCGCGTTAGAGATCGCTATTTCCTCTTCGTGTTCGACACAAATTCAATTAGCTACGAAATTTGGGAAACTTTTGGGAGCGGCCTGAACAATTATCACAAAGAATCACTCGAAGATCGGAGACAACTGATTACTGATCGCTGATAGCAAGATGTTGGGAGGTATATATAATGGCAATTGGACCGAAGACAGAGTAGTACCACAGGTTCCCTTGAACAATCACGGATAACCAGTCACGGACCCAGCCAAGAAATGAAAGGTAGTATCTACAATTATACTGATATGGAATATTTCTATATAAGTAAAAAATACTTCCTTTGATCCTGCCAGCATTCGCATTGACCCTTCTCAGCCTTTTGGCTTTGAGCCAGGCCCGCATGGACTACAAGCTGCAGTGCGCCCGCTCCGAGATCAGCATCCGCTGGCCGAGCTACCACAGCAACTCGGAGTACTATGTGTGTCCCAGCGTGAACGGCACCCAGCTGACGGTCCACTGTCCCGCCGGAGAGGTCTTCACCTTCGTCCTGCAGCAGTGCGTGCCACCACGCCACTACATCCCGGCTCCACCAATGAATGTTCTGCCCACCGCTGCTCCCGTCACCCAGCTGCTCATCGATGATGCGCCACCAGTGATCTCTGGACTGTCTCAGCTGGAGAACGAGACCCCGGAGCACCACGAGCACCACGAACACCACGAGCACAAGGAGCACAGCGAGCACAGCGAACACCACCATGAGCACCACGAGGAGGAGGCTGAGATTCACCCCATTCCACCCACTCCCGCCCCAGAGCCACCAACCCCACCCACCGTTCAGGTTTCCAAGAACGTGGCGCCCGTTCCCAAGAAGCCAACGAAGATCCCCGTGCCCACCAAGTCCGCCGCGGCCAAGAAGACCGTCGCGGCCAAGAAGCCAGCTCCTCCCACTCCCGCCAAGGCCGCCAAGAAGCCGACGCCGCCCAGCAAGGTCCAGAAGAAGCCGGCCACCGCCTAGAATCCCCAAAGGATTCTAGCATTCCGACTCCGACCGCCAGTTCAATGCCCATCGTTCAGCAAGCGGAATTTCATTCACTACTCTAAATAGCAACTTGAAGTAATTAAATATCTAACTGGCAGCCACGTTCGATCACATTTCTCGGGGGGAATCGGGAGTTCGGGGGAGTGGCTGTTGTTGTTTCCAGAAATTCCTTATCGCCGCAAAGAAAGAGAGAGTCGAAAATGGGTAATTGATTGCGATTTCTTGTTATTCACGGAATATTTTTTATACGCCGCCATTGACACCCGAATACGATAATGTCCAATTAAAGTGAAAAGGTGGAGCATTGATAGGAATTGGCTGTTGGAACTGAGCTATTGGGTTAGTCCTCTCACGTAAGAAACTTAAATAGGCATTCTATATCTTGATTTTTAGTGTTACAGCATGATATCGAACGGCTTGATAGCCTGATAAAAATCAGTTTTGGCTATGGTAAAAAATTATGCAACAAATTCTGATAAAAGATATGATATGCTATAAAATGTTTCTATGTAATAAGTAAACATAATAAATTTTTTATCTGTTAAATAAGGGTTTGAAATAGTAGTAGGTTTGAACTATTCGTTGTACAATATAAAAATGGAAAAAGGTTAATGCACAAGAAGCTTGAAAACACAAGAAAATAATTTCAGGTAGTTACAAAATTCATTAGCACTATGTCTATAGATTTTAATTATTTTATTGAATTCCGTTTAAATATCGCTTTACTTTTTATATAGCTACGAAAATCTTGTTAGATTTCTTCTTCAGTATTTAAAAATAAACTTTCAACTTAAAGAAATTAATTTCTAAGCTTCTTTATTATAATCATTTGGAATATTAAAAACCTTACAGGGCTTTAAAAAAATAGTTCATTTAAAATGCAAGAGTTTCAGGGTGATGGCAGTGGTTCCCCAAAACGACAACGAGGAACACCTGCTATCTTCTTGCCAGAGATAAAGTACCAGAAAAGAACTTGAGTTCGGCAGAAAACGCCATGAGGTCATTACCAGTGATCTCCGCCTCCCGAGATGATCTAGCTGCGATGCTAATTGACATGACACCCGGAATGAGAAGTTCCCAGAAGTTCTTTCCGCGAATCGGGGAGCCTCGCAAGTGGAACTCGGAATAGTTTCCGCCCCGGCCTTATCTGGCCGAGATTACCGAAAGTTTCGGGGGCGACGAATCCAAGGCGCAATTAGGCATTGCTTGGCTGGTTGGTTGGCATTGCTGATTTCAATTTCGCACCCGGGCGACAAGACACGAATTAATCTAGCAGCGGGGCTGATTAAACGTGTCTAACATGGCCTGCCGCGGCATAAAAAGCCTTTGGCGCTGGCTGAAATGCATCAGTGATCGGTGAGCCGAGTTAGCAGCCAGACGCACCACTTCTCCAGTCTAGCAAGGAAACAACTTCATCACCATGAAAGCCGGTAAGCACCTACAACCTTTCAGGGGTACCCAGGATATAGCCCATTACTAAACCTTCCCTTTCAATCCAAAACATAAAAGTGATCCTCATCCTCGCCGCCCTGGTGGCCCAGTCCACTCAGCAGTGCTCCAACACTCCCACGTACACGGAAAAGATCGATCCCGTCGTCTGTCCCAAGGCGAACATTCTGCTTCCGAACTACGAGAACGTCCAGAACTACTACAGTTGCTCCCTGGCCAGCAACAACAGCTATATTGTCACCCCGCTCGAGTGCGGCACGGGCACCTACTTCAGCTACGTGCTGCAGTCGTGCCAGGCCTGCTCCAGCTACCTTCCGACCGCCAAGTGTGGAAGCCTGCCCTACAACGCCTCGTGTGTGGCCATGGACTCCGTTGCTCCCACCACCACCACCGAGGCGCCCGGCGAGTCCACCACCTCCTCCACGACCACCACCACCGTGGCTCCCACCACCACCACCACCGAGGCTCCTGGCGAGACGACCACCACCAGCGCGCTGCCCGAGCCATCCACCGAGTCACCGGCCACCACCACCACCAACAGCGACGACATCATCACGCCCTCGGGAACCACCGTCAGCGTGCCCCAGCCTCCATCGCCCACCGAGAACGATGGTGTGCCCACTCCGGTGACTCCTGCGCCCACTGCTCCCAACCTCAACGACCATCCCCCGACGGCGAACGCCATCCCCAGCGCCCGGTAAACTTGCCACGATCCAAGTCCCACAATCTGCGGCTCATCGCGGAGGAACTATCTTTACCTTCAAACAGACCGAGAATAAATTCAAATACGTGAAAATGTAAACCTTCGAGACACCTGCTGAGATCCCATAAAACTGTACGTTTACAACAATATGTATATTTATTATTGAACACTTCCCAAAATGTATGGCTGAAATAAGTGCACTATATAACTATGAACAGATCGATTTTTAATTAATGTGAAACTAGTATGAAATACTAGAAAATGTGAACACTCAACAAACCTGCTGAAATTAAATAAAGCTCTTGGTTTACAAAAATCTATGATTGTTAAAAAAGGATTAAATAAAGTTTGTTCAATCAAGATCAAACAAATTTTAAAATTATAAGTCTCTAAACAAATAGTTCGTACTCTCTTAATTCATAAAAAATATTTCTTCCATACAAAAACTAAACATTTGATAGTTTTTGGTTTTCAATCGCTTTTCTATTAAGATCCAAATAGTGATCTGGAATCAATGCTCACCCAGTTGTCCTCCGCCTCGCGTTTGTCGAGGAGATATTGATGCAGCTGCTGGCCGATTCCCTGGGGAGCGGTGAACTGACGGATGAGCTCCTTGGTCCGCTCCAGCTGGGCGGGAGTGGTGATCGGTTCGAGGGCGCGGATGTAGTCGGCCATCGTTTCATCGAGCGGCGGAACGGGCACCTTGGGTAGAGTCTGCAAAGGGAAAAGGGTTCTCGAAGGGGTTAGCCAAACTGCTTGGCGGCAAATTTAATTTTATTTCACTTCCACTCATCTCAGACACTTGGCAATGCCCGGCTTTTCGCATTTCCCCCCCAATTTTCCTCATTTGTATGCATGGCAATATCGAGCGTCAAATGGAAAGTTGCTCTGTGTTGCCGGCAGCAGTACAAAAAACTTGATGCCCTGGGGAACAGAATTTCAAATCACAAAAAAAGGAAAAGAAATGGCATGGCTTGAATCTGACATTGTACTCCGGCTCCTTGACATTTTTGCCATTCCGGTTTTTATTTTTTCTGTTTGCTATCCACCCTCGCATGGAAAACTTTAATTGAGAGTTTTTCGCAATGGGAATTCCCCAGTGGAGTGTCGTTAGGCTTGGAGGTCTGCAGACCAATCGATTTCTGGACGGTCAACGGATTTTTTGCAGCTCATTATGTATGCCGGATATCTGGCTGGAGGTTCATATTCAAATAAATTCAGCGACCTTGTATTTGGACAGACCTGCTGAATAAAACACAATTTTCCACTTAACAATGAACAGTGGAAACGTTAAAAGTGTCAACATGTCGTTGACTTCCGGACTTTTTTCCAGTTCTCCGTTTTCAAAGCAAAAGAAACTTTTGTTGTACCCAATACCCAGCCTCCTGTCACTTGTCCTTCTCGGTGGATCCCCTTTCAGCCGAAGGTTTACAATTTTGATGTCTAACTCTGGTTTTTGGGGGTTGCTCTGCTCCGCTTTTTTCAGGTGAGTCCGTGGGGTGAAAGATTCGGTGGGGAGTGGGTGTTTCGGAAGGCTGGATTCCCGGTTTGTTTGCACGGTTTGGTTGCCAGGAGCTCCGGTTGCCATACAAAAGCGCTCGTTATTTGCATTTGTAATTATAACAAACAGGATTAGTCTGTCTGCCTGTGTGTGCGAATGTTTGTCTTTGAATTATTCAAGTAGCAGTCGTCGAGTCGAGTTCAGCCCTCTGGCAAATATTTGCTAGAAAATGGGGAAATACGAAATGGTTTAATCAATTTTACTCACGTCAGGGAATCCGAATTCGTCCACGGACTCGGCGGTGGAGAGCCATTTCTTCGGAATCGACAGAATCGAGTCTTTCCATCCTGAAAGAACAAAGAAAACACGGCAATCGCTGATTAACCACTTGTTGAACATCGAATTAAATTGTTGAGTAATTTGCCGCCATCGATAGACTGCCGCTATAAAACTAGTTAATCACTGTCACCAGTTTCAAGAGTTGAGGTATCCGAAATATGTTTCCTTATCGATTGACTGACAGCCCCCACAAAAGACCAAGATGTATTAGTCTATGCGTCACCGAGCATTCCGTTTAGTCAACGGACATTTTTGATTTGATTTCCCCTATCTGAAGTTCAAATTACTTTAGTTACGTTTCTTATCCTCGGGTTGACCCACAACCACTTATCGTCCCTCACCATCAACTCACATAAGATTCGGACAAATTCGTGCAAGTTTGCCATTTATTGTCTTGGCCAGGCTTCCGCCAGCGAAATGCAATAAAATAGTTCAGAGGAAACTGAAAACTCTCGGGCTTAAAGGCCAGCTCATTTCCTTTTCGGCTGTCCGTCTTTTGGCTCCTGAAGTACACATAAAAACTTTAGCTGTCATCGCTGTAATTCAACTGTATGAGCACTTCCGGTTGCCATTGCGCCCGAGTAGCTCGAATTTCCGGCATTGGCTCACATGGCCAGGAGCGGCTTTCCGGCCCTTTGAAATTGCCAATTGTTATTGTCAAGCAATTGAAGATAATTTTAAAATCTACAGTTTTCGTTTACCAACAAGAAATAAACGAAAGAACAATGAGGTTGAAGAATTTTTTATTTATGTAGGAAAAGAAAATATGTAATAGTAAAATGTTATTGCTTATAGTAAATGTTTTTTTAAATGTATTTTAAATATATTTTTAAAATTTATTTTTATATGTATTTTGGTAATCTCGTCATTTAAAGTTTGGCTGTATGTCAATTTATTTTAAATTTTTTGACCTGACTACCTTTATATTCCGTTTTGATAATGCTTGTCATTTTTTTAAAAGATTTTTGATACAATCGCTTTTCTATTGCTATAAATTGGACCTTTAAAAATGTGTCATTTATCTTCATTTTTCAAAATCAAATAATGTTCCCTCTATACTTACTTACGACCGTCATAAAAGCATAATACCAAAATGACACATTTAAAGATTTCTAATAAATTTAATAATAACAGCACCCTCTGAACAGGTAAACAGGCTCTTATCGAAATGGCTGGCCACTTGAAGGGAGCCCAATAAATATAGCAGGCACTTCAGGGTCAAAGCATTGACCGCCTTGAAGCACTGCCACTCACGATTGAAAAGAGGCTTGTTTCCCACCAGCTAAATCGGCACCATCTACCTTCGAGGGCAGGACAATCATAATGTTATTAATAAAATTGTTCTATGGCAATCGGGATGAAAGGAAAACGAGCAGAAACGGCAAACAGGCCTCCCTTCGCTTTATTTCCCTTTTTTTCCTGGAGGTAGTGGCACGCGACTCCCCCGGAACGATGTCGAATTTAATGCAATTTATTATCCTTTTTTCATTATCTTGCTAAAGATGCCCCAGTCGAGCAACTAGCTGGCGGAGGTAATCACACAATGGAGTCACGTGGCGGCAATTTGAACGTCCGTTCCATTGTTGTCTCTGCTGGAACAACAGCAACCACAAACTGTAACCTGTCCCCAGTCTGGAGCCAACCAACCCATCATACCCATCAGCAAATTGTAATAAATTGTATTAGGAAGCGTCGTTGAGAAATTCAAATTAAGTAATTAAGGCTCTGGTTTGGGTCATTCCTTTTGGGGTGGCTCAGAGTTTGGCTCAGAGGCTGGCTAATGTTTTCGGGCCAACTCGGTCGCTTAATAGAGCAAATATCAATTTACAGACTGTTGAGCGAAAGTTATTGTGCTTGCAAGTTTTTCTTTGATGTATAAATATAAATTCCAATTACAAAGTTTTCCGCTGTCCAGGCGCAGGAAAATACAAAATGAGCCACTCAAATGAAAATGAATTGACTTTTATGATGGGAAGTTCTAGTCCCTTAAATGGTAATCATAAAGTTTCTTGGAGCGTCCTTCAAAGTATTGTGGCACACAAAATATGAAACTATTAAAAGTATCATATTTATTTAGGAAACATTTTGTAAGCCTCACTTTTCAACACATTCCCTTGTTGCTGACAGGCTGCAATTTAAACATGTTCCCTTATATTTTCCAAACTAAAAGCTAAAAATGTATCTGGCTGCGTCACCTTCAATTACATGCTTTGCCTGAGAAACTTTTCCGATTGATTGATTGATGGATGGCCAGGACTTTTGATTAGACCGACAGACGGCTAATCAGATATTCATGCACCATTTCAAAGGCAGACACAACGGAGTTCCGGTTCCGGATCAGGGGACTTACTCCCGAGTAAAGCCGCCCCTTCCAGTGGCTGTCTGCTTCAATTTGCTCGTATCTGTCAGTTTTTCCTTTTTTGCCAACTCATGATTCGATTTGGGAACCAAGCCATAACTTTGCGGAAAGGGATCGAAGCGTCGTGATAATAATGACCGGGTATATGGGATAATGGGGATGGGATGGGGCTGAGCCGAGGACATTTCACACATTAACGGCGAAGAATCCCGGGCTTAATGCCAACACGCCCCTACTTTAAACGCTGGCCAATAAAACGCGCTAGTAAACCGGGGGCTCATTATTAAGCTGCAAAAATCACGCTCGAATTCATGGCATTCCTCGACTCCCCTCCAAAAGCAAAAAGGACAAGGCGGTACGACAGGCAACTGCTGCCGCCTGTCAGACAATGCGATAAAAATGTAATCCCAATGAAAAATAATGTTTCTGCCGGCATGATTCCAATTTAGCAACAGTCAACCCCAAGACCGTAGCTCATTAGGACCAGTCCAAATAGCAGATGCCGGCAACCAGAGCAAATGAAGGAGAAGAATTTAAAAAGGCAAAACAAATCCGCACCCCAAGAAGGCGGAGGAAGGCGCGACACGTTGCGACTACATAAAACACCCGTCGAACAAGCCGGGACCCCAAACCGCAGATGGCGACTGGTACCAGCATTCGGTGGTGGAAGCTACACAGAAAGAAAAAGGTACAGGTTAAACAAAAATAATAGCTTAATAATAGTATACAAGAAAGTTATGCTTGATTTAAAAAAAAATATTATGTTTTCTACAAATGCTCAATAGTTTTGGTTAAAATAATTGGAGACTTGTTATATGATTTAATTTAGCGCGTTTCTTTTAAATAGATGGATAGGTAGGAAATTAATATTTGATATTACCTATAAAATTTAATATTTTATTATGCTTCAGTGCTTAATTTGCTTTAATGTATACTGTTACTTTATGACTTTAACATGTAAAGTAACCTTTAAAATGTTATATTTTATTACACATTAGAAATCTGTTTTGTATTGTAAACATTAATGACTTCAAATACTTGCAAAGGCATCGGAAAAAGAAGAGAGAAAATGTTTGGTTAAATAAAACTGTTTTTTTTTCAGTGTCGGAAGCTGCCAGGGGTCATAGCATTGTCGGATGTCGGAACAAGCGATGAATGGCCGAGTGAATGAGTTTTTCCTCCTTTTGTTCGATTTGGCTGCTCGTAAAGGGCTTTATTCCATTCAAGGGTGGATGCTGGATGCGGATGGGGATGCGATTGAGGATGAGGAGGAGGATGAGAAGGATGCGGATCCCTTCGCCGTCGCACGCACATCGCAATTGAGCCGTAAATCCTTTACGGTCTTAGCGCCGTTGTTTCACGGCGACTACGTTGCGCTTTTGTGGCCCGGCTTTATTTTCTTTTTCCGCCGCAAATGCCTAGCATACTTTTGTGCGCCAAACTCAAATTAACTGCCGCACTGAGGCATTGAAAATTCTTGTAATTGTTCGGATTGAAACAAGCGGAAAGCGTAAATTGCTGGCGCATTGTGGCGGAGATTGGGATTCTGCTGACTTGGATTGCGGTTTGCGGCTAAGCAGAAGGAATCTCTGAAAGATATATACACACTGACACACACGCACGTCCAAAAATTGGTCCACCTTTCGGTTCGGTTGTGGTTGAATCTGTTTCTGAGCCCGAGGCATCCTCCCCCAAATAAGAAAGAAGAAACTTTTTGCCCAGACTCTGGCTAGCTGTTCGTGACTCAGGCCAAAGTTGCTAATGGAAATTGCAAACATAAAATCATTTTCCACACAAATTTCTGGCCCCAGGGCACGCACACAATTCCCCCAGTTTGCCATCCAAGTTCCTTCGTTTTTTTTTGGGTTGGGAAATCCACAAACTCCCCGAACAGGGAGATTGATGCACAAGTTTCCTTTCCGAAATTGGCACGAAACCAGGTGTACACACAATGTGGCTCGATTTTTATCGGACTGGAAGGTCCTTTGTCGGCCGCATTAGCTAATTAATTGCATTAATCGTTAATAGATCGGATGACCTGCCAGTTTCCATTAAAAGACTGTATTTTCATGGTTAACAATTATATTTCAATAGTACATGTTTGTTCTGTGTTTTGTTTGTTTCTGTTGGGTGTTTTTGTGTGTGTTTGGGTGTGTGTATGGCTGTGTCGCTCTGTAATAATGCATTATCTTTCCTCTATAGCACTTGCCAATATCTGTATGCTTTAATGTACGCTCGGTTATATTTTCTGCTCGTTCAATTCATTATTCATAACATTTCCCATAGCCAGAAGCAGGCAACTGCCATTTTGAATTCTCGTTCAATGCAGTTCAAATACGTTTATAGATTCATAGACCGGTGTGCGAGTTTTCTATTTGTATTTTACCCTTGTTGAATAATTCCAGAAAATGACCAAATCAGAAGCAAATGTCAATGCCAGCAAAAGTTGTGTTTGTTTTAGCTCTTAATTTTGCTGACTTATGGCTCGAATTTTCTAGAAAATTCACACACATCGAACCGAACTTGAGGGCTGTTTGTTTTTTGAGGCAGTTCCTGCTTGTTTTTCCTACTGTTTACGTTTGATTATAGAGGAGATTTCTGGCATGCCTTGAAAATATGCTCTAGCTATGATAAGTCATCGAACATCGATTCGCTTCTTTTTGATATGCATAGCACTTAGTTTGCTTAGTTTTTTTTCGGGGATAGTTGAACGGTGTGATATTCAGATACAAACATAATTATGTTTAGAATATAGATGGATAGACTTGGAAATTGAACAGCAACGTTACAGAACTGGGATTTTGGATACTTGGTAAAATTTTAGATTCGCTTCTGGTTTTGCTTTTGCTTACTTATCTGTTATCATAATTTCCATTGTTTATCGTTATAATTATTGTTGGATATGTAACACAAACGTCTATAACATTAGCCGAAACAAGTTGCAAAGACCTTCGTAATAATTTAGTTCTGTACTATATAAGTATGTACTTGAAACGCTTCCACTTTTACTCTGACTCTGACCAAAAAAGACATTCGAAAGTAACAACATGCCTTATATACAATACGAAACTGAACTGTGGTGGCATTAACTTTGCGGGCTTCACTTACAAACTCATTTTATTTTGCCTAGGGTATACAATTAAATTTTCTAAAACGTTCTTCACACGCACAACACATAGAAACTGTCGGAGAGTCACATCTCATATGAAAAAATATCAAATTATTTTTCTGTGCTACTGGTTTTTTGTTGCCAAGGTAAAATCCCTATATCATTTAGTAAATATCTGATATTAAAAATTAGTTTGTTCATTAATTATCCATAGCGCACAGTTATTGCGTTTAATTCATAATTCATATAATGCTATTGAACATTCAACACTTGTAATACGCAGAGTATAACCATTCAATTAACTGCTATCGTGTTTTATAATTCATTTTATAAATGTATATTCATATACTTTATCATACATCTCTTCTTATATTTTCGTATTTATATGCTTGTAACACATTTAGTTTATGCGTTCCATTTGCTCTTATTTGTTTAGTAAGTTATTACACATTGCCGGCACTGCTAGATTTCCTTCAGGCTACTTTCTATTGACCTTCGATCCCGTCCTTTAACTACATTATGTGATGGTTATTTATTACTTAGCTGTATGTATATATATATATATTTAATTGTAAACCAAAATTGGAAGATTCATATACATGTTGCGCTCTACCAAACTTTGGTTAAAACTGTTCAAATCTATTGAAATCTTGAATGCCTGAAATTTTTTGTGTATTAACCAAACTTTGGTTAAAACTGTTCAAATCTATTGAAATCTTGAATGCCTGAAATTTTTTGTGTATTGTTTATTTGACATCTATCTACATCCAGCCTGAAAGCCATGTAAAAATTAAACACTTTTAGCCAATGAAATAGATTAAAGTTGATTTTCAAAAAGTGAATTTTTTATGATATTTTCTGCTTTACATGACCTCAGGGCTTGGCGTTGTTGTTTTTTAGATGATTGTTTCAAAGGAAACTTAAGTAAATATTGCTCTTTGGGGGTTGCATTATATTTATATACGTTTGGTTACTTGTATTTAAAATTCTATTGTTAGCTACTTAAATAAACATTCTATTTATAATATGTTACATAATGATATATATGTACTTTATTGACTATATTAATTGTTCTGGTTTTCTTCTGCTTTGCTCTTCATATATAAATATGTAGTTTGCTTTAACATTTTTCTTGACCACTTCCTGTCCTTCGTTTTAATTGATACTTTTGATGGGAGATTTTTTCATGAGTTTATTCATATTATAGTTAAGAGTATTTCTACAGTTTTGTAAATTTGTAGAACTATGTTTATATTTTAGGTATAAGTATAATAAAAAAAGGAAAACTTATAAAAATCTAAGAAAAAAGAATATTTAATATAACACAGCAATTCACAAAAACAGACAACATTTTTGATTTGCTAGGGAAAATAACTTAGTTTTAATTAAATGAATATACTAAAACAAGTTATTCTATAAACCTAATAACATAATTTGAACTTTATTAAAATCAGTGCATTTCTGTAAATGTATCTCGAATATTTATCCAGACTGCGATCAAACTAATTGCTTTTGTAGTTCATAAGATATTCAAATTTGATCGGGGTTCGCAAAAGCCGCTTTACTGATATGTTCACGGATACAAAAAGTCTGTGATATACTCGTAATTAACTTTAATTGCTGACTAAATACGTCTGAAAAATGTACATAAATATTCTGACATCCATATGTATATAAAAGATCAATTTACTTATCGATATGGTGGATCCTAAGCTCCAGCTAAAAGGTGTATAATATAGGGGCAGTAAACTGCCCTAAAAGTGGTGCAGTCGAAACGAATAAAAAATACAGTACTTTATGCATACAATAATCGTTAGTTTATACGTTTATATCTTTAGGTTTATCTTTATCTTATAGACAAGGTACACACATTTATGCTATGCTATCGAAGATCTACTATGGCGGCGAACTCCTGATCGGAGACACCCGTGTGCTCATAGAGTCAACAAGCAAATAATAATTGATTGGTAGGTAAATATGAAACTTGAATTTGAATCTCAAATTGATTTCTGTTTCCGTTGGTTGTATAACTTATGTACACTTCATGTACGGCCTAAAAGTAGGTGTGTATGTTACCGATATGATACGATATATGTATAGACTAGTAGCAATAAGTAATATCACTTTTGGTAATTTTAACAGGCGAGCCATCGAGACTCTGATATGTATCGTTACCTTGGTTGTGTCTTATGTTAACAAACGTTCAACTGAATACTTTTTTTCAAACCGGAAACAATATAGCCAGGCTGGCCGGGAACCCACTTTCGACCCGAATCCGCCACAATGATACCCGAAAGAGTTCCTCTGGTTCAGTGGGCGTGGGAGGGTTTCGATTTGTGCAACTTGTGATATGTCTGCGATATGGATGCCACTGCCTTTAAATCGGCGGCACTCGGGCGAAAGTGGTCCTCCGGTCAGCTCAACCGCTTAATACTAGCTTGTATATAGATATATATGCGTGTATATAATATCTGATACATATTTGTATGTGTATATTTGATATGGCGGGAGTCCGAGCCCTCCCCTTACCGACTAACTATCCCTAGGCTTTGGTTTCTCTAGCTTCACTGACTGATAGACACGAAAACGGCTGCATGAGTACTGAGTATAGGGCATAGGCGATCCGATCGGACCGCACTATATATAGCTGCTATATGCTGATGCATATATGCGTTGTGTGAGCGATGGGAGTTTCGTAGGCCTTTGGTACTTTTTGGTTTTTCGTGGGTGCAGGAAGGAATTTTACCTTAACTTTGTAAATTCATAAATAAATATTGGACGTGTTATTGTTATACTATTGCCAAAGTTCAATTTAACGAATTTTTCTCTCTTTAATTTTCATTATTTCTTCCAAACATGATAAAAATATTTTTTAATTCTTATTTCTTGTGTGAATGGAAACTTTTTCAATCAATTTCTCCGACTAAAGTTTTGTATATATCCTCTTTCGCACCCAAGAAAACCCAAAAAGGACATCCCCATCGCTGCTTTTAGTTGGTGGCTTTTAACATTCGTGTATGATACAAAATTGGTGCGGTGCAAGGCATTAACTAGCTGCTGTATTAACTATCTGCATGTTATGCTCGTTATAGTGTACGTACCACTTGCCTAAATGACTATGCTAAATATATGTATATGTGTTTTGTGTCGAGTTTCTTAGTGGCTTCAACAGAGAACGATTGCTGCACACGGATGTGTGTGCAAAAGAACACGTTTTAAGACTAGAGGCTTCTGTTTTGTTCTGCACTCCGAACATGGGCAACAGTTTAAAATCCTTGCCTAAAGGGATTCGCCGGTCCAGCAGGACCTCTGCTCTGTGGCTGCTGTTGTTGTTGCTGCTGCTGCTGCTGGAAGGGATTCGCCACGCGGGGTTGTCCTTGGGGAGCGTAGCTCCCGCCCTGTTCCTGGTAGCCCGGCTGGTAGCCCTGATCCTGCTGGTATCCTTGCTGGTATCCCTGCTGCTGCTGGTAGTCGTACTGCTGGTCATCCAGATTGGTCTCCTGCTCCTGCTGATACTGCTGCCCGTACTCCAGGTGGTTCTTCACCCCACCCTCCACGGGTTTCTGGTCGTGCATCACGTAGGTCTGGTACTCCTTGTTCGGCGGGTCCTGCATCAGGATATTAGCCTCATTCTCGAAGGGCTTGAAGTCGTAGATGTTGCGCAGCTTTCGCAGCACGGGCACGTATGCCAAATTCGAGAAGGCAATCAAGAAGTTGAGTGCTGTGAAGCCAATGGCCTCCACCACTCCGCCGGCTATAATGGGACCCACGGCATAGGCGATCGAATAGGATATATCCGCAATGGCGTAGATACTTCCATAGACAGATACATAACGCACATCCACCAGATAACCCAAGGTTGGCAGTAGAGCGGTGTCGATCAGCGCAATTCCGAAGCAGATCACACAAATGGGCAGCATGAGCATCTTGTAGCCACTGCAGAAGGGAATGAGGAAGCAGGAGAAGCCCTCCAGCGCCAATCCTCCGGCGGCCATTAGCCACTGGTGCTGCGGATACTTCCTTGCCATCTTCACCGTTATGACCACGCCCAGTACATGCGGAAAGAAGGCGGGCAGCCAGACCATTCCGATCTTCCAATTGTCCGTGGTCATGTTGTCCTCCATCCACAGCGAGATGGTGGGCTCCAGGAAGGCCAGCGCCACATTGGACATGGTCAAGGCTCCGGCACAAACGGCGATGTAGGGATCCATGAGGAGGCGCCAGATGGGGATGACCTGATCTTGAACCTCCTTGCTCTGCTTGATCGCCTCCTTCACCGGCTTCATCACGAGCAGAAGCATCAATCCGTCCACCAGGCAGACCAGAGCCAGGATCAAAAAGGGAACCTCCTTGCCGGCAAACTGATAGAGAGCTCCTCCAAACGGCGGGGCCACCAAGCAACCAAAACTGATGAAGGCCAGCGCAATTCCCAGGGCTTGCGATCTCTCGTTCTCCTCCGTAAACCGATCCGCAATCATGGCCAGTCCGGCGGTGTCCGCAAAGGCGGAACCTGCTCCCTGGAGAGATCGGGCAAAGAACAGGACGCTATAGCTGCTGCCACAAGCGAAAACTGCCGTGGAGAAGAACATAATGGTCAGCCCGATCATCATGGGCAGATCGTAGCCGATCTTGTCGATCAGGCCGCCTGAAAAGGGATTCACCATCAGCTGGACAATGGCCTTCGAGGCGAACAGGATGCCCGTGGCCGAGTCCTGGCCGTGGTGATCATGATGCACGGGTATTATCTTCCCGGTGACATTATCCCGCAAAGGCGGCTGCGTGGGTCCGTCATCGAAGCTGCCGATCTCTCGGAGATAGTCGGGTATGATGGGCACAATCACCATGTAGAGCATGTTGTCCAGCAGCAGGGCTATCGACACGATCACCAGGATGATGCGACGCTGGTTCACCGGCTCCTGGATCTTCTCCCACACGATGTCCTTCACCTCGCGCAACTCGAGGTTGATAACAGGTATTTGGAATGAGGCCATTTTGGTTTGCAACTAATTTATCGCTGAGGTTCAAGAAGTTCTATCCGGGATTCTTCGGTTTATCCTCTTTCTTTTTGTTTTGTACTCTTTTACCTTTTGTGGTCTTAAAGCTTTTATGCTCCGATTTGGAGGCCTGTCATGTTTATAGCCGGAAATTGCTTAGCGCTCGCTGCAAATGTGGCCACTTCCGTTTCCGCTGCGCTAATTGCCCGACTCTTCGACTCTCCGACTTTCTCCACTTTCTTCTTTCGCTTTGAGGTGGTTTATCGTTGCTTTTGGTTAACTGTGGTCTTTCCTGCTGCCTTTGCTGTGTGGTTTTACATGTTTTGGTGTGCTTGTTGTAGTTGGTGGTGTACGAGTTGTTGGCATGCCAGTGAACAACCTTTAACGACACAGAAACAAGATTTCGTTAGTCTTTTGCTCTATTTTATTTTATTTTTTCATTGCTTGATTGTCTCGCTAATGCGATGGAAATTTATAACTTTTTATGAGCTCTCTCTCTCGCACCTTCTCTCTGTCTCTCTCTCACTCACTCTTATCTAGGATTAGTTGGTTAGTTGGGTTTATTTTATGATTGAAATGTTGTTTCTGTGTTGCAAAAGGCTGCCTGCTGGTGAACAGAAATTGTATTGTATTAGGATTAGTTCGTGGCATTTGCATTTGTTCGATTACATGGGATTAAGGATATCTCTTTCGTTAGCTTCTCCTTTTCGAGGGACACACATTTCAATCATAAAACAAATACCGAAAAAGTACGTGTTCGTTCTACTATTAGGTCTTTAAATATTTGTGGGTCCAGGGTGATTACAAGGGCTGAGCAATTATTTTAATTGGATTTGTGTGGGCTTTGAGCTAAAAGTGTGGTTGAAGAGCATGTGAAACGGAGTGTCCTTAGAGCCACGCGGTCGTACTCATCGAAGCTATAATTACAATTATTGCTTTCCGTACGCAAAAAGGTCCCACTCAACACGCAATCAAAGAGGACTTGAAAGTAAAGGGACTAAAGGATCATAAAGGAATTGTTTTGTAGGTAAATATTCAGGTGATTACATTCAGTACAGATTGGTTAGGAATACCTTGCCATTCGCTATTCAATGGTTTATAACACTAAAATATATCTTTATTATAAAATAAATATCTTTTAAGTGCATTTATAAAATGTTTTGCCATTTTTCAGCAGTTACTTTCTGTTGTAAAAAACTTTGTTGGTCATCCAAAGCTGACCTTATATTTTATGGTCAAAAAAACAAACTACCACTCTTAGTTCATTAGGAGTTCGTTGTAATAAAACTTTTCTGAGCTGCGTTAGCTATCAATGCTGATCTAATTTCAACATTTATCTACCTTGTAGCACGTCGAGCAGCCACCCCCGTTTGAGTAAACATGAAAATGCGACGTGTGCAGGGTATAAATATGACCCCCGCCCCAATTTCTGCTGCTACGCCCTGCTCCTCCCCCCTCGAAATTCAGAGCCGCCCCTTATGAGGCTTTGGTGTATGCGAGACGTAACAAAAACATTTCGTTTTATCATTAAATTTTCATGACCACGTCCGTGTATCTGTGCCCCAAACCTCCCCAACAACCTTGGGTTCTGCCCTGATCACCCACCCACTTTCACATGGGTACTCATACATTACGTATATATATGTATATACATATTTATATGTATGGTAACAGCCCCCGAGCTGCCCATGAGTCAATTATGTTTTTGCGAGCGAGCGGGGGCTTTGCTTTTATTTTTCCATCCAGCGACTTTAATTTTTGAGTTCTCTCCATGCATGAGTACTTTCCCCCAACAACAAAAACCAACCGAAGGAGAGCCCGGTGGGTCAGGTGGGTGGCCGCACTTGACCCTGCTGGTGGTGGTGCTGCTGTTCGGCAGGCCTTTATCAACCAGGGGTTGTTCGGTGGGTCGCCGCCTGCAGCTGCTCAAGTCAAGTGCAGAAACGTGTGCCTACATGTTGATTATTACAAGGCCCATTCTAGACGGACCATTCAATGTATCTCACGGATATTTAAAGATATTGTGACAAAATATGTTAAAGGGAAGTGTCTTTAAAGGGGTTACAAATCGATTAGGGTAAATATTGTGTTCGATCTTTTTATATTACTGTTCAAATAGAAAAGTTAAATAATGTTCAGTTTTAAAAGTTTTTCCACGCCATATATATACCTATGTATTTCAGATTAGTTAGAATAACAAATAAATTTGCTTTCAAAACGAACAAAATAGTAATTGTTTTTCATAGTTAACAATAATGCGGAGTTTGTTTATATAATATTATAGGAAGGAAAGATAAGAAGTGTTTGAAAAATATCTATCTATCGTGACAGATTGTGATTTAACTTTTATGCTTTAGTTTGACAGTTGTTGCTAAATGTAATTGTGAATTCCGAAAACAAACAAATTAATCTGTCATGGGAAATATACACTAGTTCAGTAAAAGTTTCCTTTTTCCAATGAATGACCATGACAGGACATTAAAAACTTTTCGAAATGTGTATAAAAATAGCAAAAAATAACGAAGAAGTTTAATGACACTGAATTGACTGCCTTAACTTGTTTTTATGCTCCAGGGGATCATAGGGCACACCTACAAAAGATATTCCTTGTGCATATATGCTTATAAATGAGCTAGCAATTTGTATTTACGCTTTTATAATTTTATTGATTTTTCCGCCCTGTCTGGCAAAGCTCCGTGGACAGCTGACGGATTTCCCAGGCAATGCATAAACATTTATACAAAATTCGGTTTGGGTTTCGGTTTCGTTTCGCCCTGGCCTTCTATTCATCGTCTCACTCCTGCTGGCTAAATTTCCTTTTCATCTTTCATCTGGGGTCGAGTGCCAACTTCCGACTGCCTCAATTAGCCGACCGAGCGTTCATATTTTATGCAGCTTCCGCCGCAGTAAATTATGACAGCCCGTGTGTTTTCCTTGGCGAAATGTAGTTTCTACTTTGTTGCCCATTAATAATGCGCTACCTGTGGGGCTTCAGCTGCGGCCTGTGATGTCCTGAAATATTCAGGAAGACTTTAAGATGCGCGGCCAAGTCATCTAGGCAAACAAAATTTAATCCTCTGTCAGACAACAAAGAGCGAAATGGGATTCTGGGCCAGCAATTGAAGGAGCAGCTCTTCCCAAACAGCCAGGACTTAAAGCCTCTTCGATGGCAGGATGATCGCCGACTTTTGCCACCCGCCGTAACCCTGGGAACATCCGCAGCCTGCTGCTCCTGTCGTCCTGTCGTTTTTCACAGCGGCAAAGGATATGTTCCAGCCAGCCTTCCGAGAAAGGGGAATGAAATTACATTCGCTTTTTTAGCTCTGCGGGGGCGTGGACTTCTGGGTGTGCCCGCGTCTGTCTGACGAGGTAATCAGCGTAAAATACAATTTCATTCCGGCTCTCCTGAAGGGTAAGACATAAAAAATACAATATCGTCGGGGGCTGTTTGCATTTGCAATGAGATGGCAGCCAGAAAAAAAAATAAAACACGTAACCATGAGCTTTGGCGCTTTGACGCTTTGCCATTGCCCGGGAAACGAAAGCAATACCATTAAAATTAATAATCTTGAATATATATTTTCTTTCCTTTTGCCGGATTTTTAAGTGGGTGGCCTGGGCGGCAGTCTTAAATAAACAGCAAATAAAATATATCATAATATTTATGGTAAGCCGCATTTCGCACGCAAACACTTGACAAAAGGCAGCGGAAAATCCTCACAAGTGTTCGTACCGCAATATAGATTCAGATACACACACCACCAGCGAAGAACAGGGCTTGTAAAACTCCCCGCAAGTGGTGTAAGCTGCTTTGTTCAAGTGCCACGAAGGGTTGAATCAGGAGTTTGGGGTGCAAGGGGTCAGCAATTCAACAGTGTGATAGCAGAGTTTACAAATCCCCTTCCCAAAACTGCCTGTAATTCGATGTGCTTGCTGAGGCGTTAGCCGGGTTCCCTAACTCTATTCGCAAACCGTCTCTAATGAACTGTGGCCAACTAATGAGCCTCACCTTGGCCACTCTTGATCGATTAACTTGGCGGCGTCGCCAGCTTTACCTTAACCCTCTTCCGACTGCCAAGTGTTTTCTCGTTGACATTTCTGTTTCAAGTTTAATTGTCTTGTCGCTGTTCTTGTCTTGTCTCCAATCGATTTTACTGGGTTAGCTTAGTCCGCTTACTTGGTCGTCGGAGCGCTTTTTAATTGCCAAAGTTTTGGGCAAAGGAAAATGTCATTTTTGGGCCACGAGATCCTTTTTGCTTTTAACCGAAACGTGTAAGCAACCCTCTTTTTGGGTGACCCTTGTTTTTTATTGCTCTTTTCGTTGTTTTGGCTGATGTGCTTTTATCAACTCCCAGAGGACCCGCAGCCACTTAGCCCGAGGATCTGTTTCAAACTCGAGTCTCCAGCATTAAAATAAAGGAGCACACACAAAAGGCGCCATTTTGGCGTTACTGATGGTACCACGGGGCGTATGAGCGGCCCCTTTAGTAGAGCTGCCTATAAATCAAAACATTAAATGGGCGTGGCCCCTCAGGGGGAGTGAGTGCCAAATGGTTTTTCCCCCTCTACGCTTTCGTGTGGGTGTGCGTGTCTAATGTCCGTCTTTTCGCACACATGTGCAGTTTCCAGGCAACATCCCTTTTGGTCAACCGAATGCGTTGGATTACAAATTGATTTGCACATAAATTACTGGGACTTGTTTTAGTTATTGCCTTTTTTCTCAGAGCGAAAGTAATTTACCTTTGTGCCTCCCATTCAGCAGTTCATGTTTCATGTGGTTTTATACACAGAAAAGAAAAATTATAATAAACTAGCAAGAAACGTTTATTGTGCTTGAGAGTTGGCATAAAAGCGTTTCGTTAAATGGATTTCCATCTATGAAACACTTATGAGACTTAAGCTTTAATTTAAACCAGTTTGTAAGAGAAATAAAATATAGAACTAGTTTCAAGAGTTCATTAGTTCAACAAAACTTTGATTATAGGGCACACTTTATAGTTAAGAATAATAATTGAAACTGTAATATTATAGAAGACGGTTTTTAGTTTTAATTGGAGCAAAGAAAACTTTCAAGCTAGCAGTTTTTGATACATTGCTAACACGTTAAAGTGCATTTCTTGAGGTTTTTCAGTTACACTATATTGTAGTGATCAAATTTGAAAGAGAGAAATATGTTTAAGCTTAATACCTAGTATATGGTAAGCTAACAGGCTTACTATCAACTTTTCTTTCTGTGTAGTTTTGATTAATGGCATCGATAGCCAGTCTGTCCTGGCAAATTGCTAATTTCCAGAATCGAAGCAAGGGCCTAAAATGTAACCATTTGTAGCTTGGCAAATGCGGAGCAATCAACAACACCATCAGCGACCGGTTTACGACTTTTGATGTCGCTACTCCGGCTGAGTTCGAGGTCCAGATCCTGTTCCTGCTACTTTCTCCGCCTTCCTCCACTTTCCCCATCCCCCTCTAGCCCTTCCCCCATCCGATTCTGATGGCTCAATGTTGGCAACCCTCGAGAAGTCCGGGTTCGTTCTTATCAGACAGCATCAAGACAAATGCGTTACTTGTTTCTCGTTTAGCTTATTACGAGCTACCTTCCTGCCAGCCTTTGTTTCTGGCACTTCCATCCCCTCGGGCTGCGGTAGATGGGTCTAAAAAATAAAGGGGGATTGGGCCTGTAGTTCCTCGGTGGTTTTGGGCGGTGGTGGTGGTCGTGGTGGTGGTGCGCCCCCTTTTGTTTTGACACGAAACCGCTATGAACACATCAGCGTTACAAACGCGTCTACAAGGCAAACAATCTAATGACGACGGCGTCCTCTTGTTTGTGTTTGTGTGTGAAATTTATATTTATTGCCTTCATTATGCAGCAGCCGCAGCACCAGAGAAAATTGCTTTGCTCCGGCAGGTGGCTTGGCATGGTGGCACTTTCTTTGGGCCTTGGCAGTGGGCTGGCTGCCTGGTCGCTACTTTGATGAACTCCAACCAGACCACGAGTAGACCATCCGACCACCAGACCATCTTCGCTTCCCGACAAGACGAGGCATGTAATGGTTTAATGGGACGACAGACTCAAATTTGATTAGTAGACGCAATCTAATAAAGGCATTTGTTTGGGGTTCTCGGCTAATTGATTGTCAATTGATGGCTAAGAAAAGTAATAAAACATCGTAAAGTAGTGGAATTTACACCCTATTCGCTGATGAAGCTTTCTTAAGATAAGAACACTAAAAACTTCTTAATATTTTGTGTTAAATAATACTAGGAATATACAGTTCGTAAATTATTTTTTTTTTTTGGAAATAATTGTTGAAAACTTCCTACTCAACTTACTTGCAGTTGTGTAGTTTGTAAATGTTTCATAAAATGTTTAAAAAGATTATTGAAAGGCTTATGTGAATTTTAACTTTGAAAAGTAAGTAGATAATTTTTGTTTTAAAGTTATCTGTAGAAGAGCCCAGAGTAAATTTAAAACCAAGTTCAAATAAGGGTTTTGTGAATTGTAAAATGAATATTTTGAGATTTCCGAGTTTCTTAAAAAGTTCGAGTTTATATATTTTTAGTGTTTAGTTAACCCTCATCACATTATTTATAAATTTGTTTTTGTTGTATAAGCTCAGGGAAGAGCTAACGTTTAATGCATGTCAAAGTTTTATTTATTAGTACTTATAAATTATTTGAACACTACAAGAGGTTTAGCTTTGTTAACTAAGAATAAATAACTATCTTCGTTGGATTTGGCTTTGTATATTAAGAAAATAAATCGACACAATGAAACCCTATATTTTGATGTCCACGTAGTTTTCTACAAAATACGTATCAACTCTTTTAACCAAAAGATTCTCTCACGAAAAAGGAACCAAGTGTCCAGTGAATTACATAAGAAGCGCTCAAGTTTTGAGCTTGGGCGGTAGGCATTCGAACGGTAACTGTTCCATTCCGTTTCGTTTCCCATTCGTGCACGGAGGTCCATTGAGTGAAATGAAACCTACGAACCTACGAGTTTGGTTTGGTTTTCTTTTTTGGGGCCATAAATAAAATGTGTCTACCCTGTGAAATGTGGCAAGTGTCGAGCTCACGACCACACACCATACCCGTGAACATGTATATACACATACACAAGGTGCATGTATATATAAATACACTCGTGTGTGCCAAAGGACAACGCTTATGATGAGCGGGAGTCCTTTGAGGACGAGGACGAACCACTTGCCAGGGGCCCTGTGCTCTAGTGTTTGCGGGCTAGTATGTTGTTTAATTTTAATTATGTGCCTTTCTCGGCGATGCCACGTTATGCAAGCATTGCAAGTGCACCACCAGCAACCAGCAATGTGCAACGTGCAACACGCAATTTACTGTTTGCTAACTGCTACTTGCAACTTGCAACTCACCTGTGTCGCTTGGTGTGATGTTACTCAGGCGATGGGTGAGGAATCCGCGCAGATTGGAGACGACACGCTGCGGCGAGTTGGGTCCGCTGCCAATGGAGAAGCTACGCAATTTCGAGAACAGGGCGGCGGACTCCGCGCCACTGCCCGCGGCGCTGGTGTTGGGCTCGTTGGACGCCACGTTCGCTCCGGATCCTTGGTTCCTGCGGATCCCCAATCTACCGCTAGTGGGCTCGCTTACGCGTTATGTAAAAGCGCGCGCCAATCGATCGCCGAACGTTCACACCGACTCAAGCGCACACACACACTCGCACACACACGCTCACTGACACTCTACCCGCTCGACCGCTGCGGATACCGCTCGCTCGCTTGGATTTTGGCCACAAACAATTTCCCTTTCAGCTGGAGGTCCACAAAAAATGATTTCAGTTCTGGAGCAGCTCCGGGGAGTTTTTTTTTTCTTCCAGGCGACGGACGGCGACTACGGCGAAACAGCAGCAGCGTGCGTTCAGTCGTCCGGGCAGGAGCAAAGGTAACTTCTGTCTGGCGAGCGTTCGCCAGAAAGTCTACTGCAGAGCAGAGCAAAGCAGAGCAGAGCTGAGCTCACTCGCCTTTTGTCGGTATTCACAGGCTGGAAGGGCCGATGGTCCCCAACGTGCGCCTTCCACGGCGCAGGACATCTGCGCATGCGTCTGCGCCTCCGCCGGGCATCCGGCCAATTGGCTGGCAAGTCCTGCCACGGATTCGCTTTCTCCCGCCGCCTTTCCCCACGCTCATTACTCTCGCCCAGTTGAGCACATTTGAATAAAATTCTATTCGCACTGTGCGAGGAAAATCAATTTCCTTTTCGGCCGCTCTCTCTCACCTGTCGGTTTGCCTTGTTTTCCCTGCTTTTTTTCCCCCGTTTTTTGTCATTGCGTGCTTTTTGCGTTTGCCATTTTCGTAGCACACATTTCGGGGCTTATGTAAGGCAGTCAGTTTGCTTTGGAGATTTATTTGCTGAGTTTTCCTTCTTGCTTCGGTCATAAAAACACACACACACAACCACCCATTCACTCACCAAATATAATTATTTTACAACAACAGATTTTTGTTTTCTGTTTCCTTTTTTTTTTTTTGTTTTTTTGCCTGACATGTAATTATTTTACAAGAACAAAACTCCCTGGTCGGCAATCGGGCAATTTCTTTGTTAATTTCAGCAATTGCCCGAACAATAAACAGGCGATTCTCTCAACCTTCGGCACTCAAGTGGGCCAGACAATAAGACTGGCAAACAGCATGGACACCAGATTAATATCTGTTGAGAGGGCAGGACTGCAATGCAGGGGCTAACACCCGGCTTTTGTTAGATTTTTCGACCCGACTGTCACACAATTTGCCAATTTCTTTGTCATTTATCACTTGACAAGCACTCCCTGCAATTTATCAAGTCTTAACTTCGGCTCAAAAGGCCACAAAATTATGTTGGGAACCATAAGGCCGAAACCCAAAACATCGCATAAGAAATTCAATGGCAAAGTTTTCTGCTAGATTCTCACCTTTTGTCTCAACTCTTTTTCCCTGTCACTGGCGTTACATTACTTATGCAGGGAGTTCTCGGATAAAAAAGTTACAATTTATTCACCGCTTTGCAAGTCGCTCTAGGTGATTAGGGCAGAACTTTTCCAGTGAGTTTTCCCTTTTTAATTTACAGGAAAAGCGCTGCCAACTGACCCACTGAATCGAGATGAGGGCCAGAGATATTCCGCTAGTTGGTTGATTACATTTCCATTTACTTTTAACAGCGCAAATGAGAACAGGCAGCTGAACTGAAAGTCATGTCAAGGTTAGAGCAGTTTTATTGATTGATTATCGGGCTTGAGTTCATGAATGGCACGCCACCTGCCCCCGCCCACCAGTATATTCAGTTCTATTTTTTACTACAAACACAAAGTTTCGCTCTGCATTTAAAGTTTGCCCTGCCAAGTCCCCAATCAGCAGTCAAAACCTTCAAAATCCAGCCACGTAAAAGCAATTACGAGTGCAAAATTTTGGTGTGCTCAAACTATTTTTGCAGCTTCTTTTATTCATTTTATTCGGTATACAAAGTACAGAGAGTGGGAAACTTTTAATGCAGCGATCGATATGAGCCGAAGGAGCTTGGAAAATGAGAAGGACGAGGAGGAGGAGCAGCGGGGGGCAAAGACGCCTCAAAGGTAAATCAAGGTGTGCCTCATTTTCCTGTGTGCGTGTCCTTTTCGCTCGGAGGTGTGGGTGTGGTTTTGTGGGTGGGTTCTGTGTGTGGGTTTGTAGGTTTGGTTTCGCCTGCTGCGGATGTTTGCGCCGCGGCTTAAGTATAACAACACTATGTGCGGGGCCAAATTATATGGCACAACCGTCCGCCGAATGACCGAGTCGGGCCAACGTACGGCGGCCCACCTAAAAGTGGTTGGAAACAAGGTTACCTGGTACGCACCACGCGGCCAAAACAGAGAAAAATGTCTATAAGGCACGCAAGGCAAAGCAAACGGACCCAAGAAAAAGAAAACGAGCCTCGTCGGGCGCCCACAATAGACCAAACAAAGAATAGGCACACAAAACTCAGCCGCCAAAATGAACGAAATAAAGCTGGTATATATTTAAATACAGTACAACTTCCCAAACAACAATTATTCGTACTTAGGAAAGAAATATTAGAAAAAAATTTAAAAAAATAAAAACAAACAAGCTAACATGTTTCAGATGATTAATAATTTCATTTTAAATTATCCCTCCCAAAATGTTTATATTACGTGTCAATGGATTGCACTAGAGTGGAGTTTTATAAGGAAAATAGTACATTTGGTTAAAAACAACGACTTAGGTATGACTTTAATTTTATGTTAACCAACTGAACCTTATTATAATTAAGATGCGCAAATGTTAACGAAATTCAGAATTTATGACAGCGAAATGTTTATTTATTACACATTTAATTTATTCAGATGTGCCCTTGAATACTTATTATTTGAAAGCAAGCAATTTTAAAATCTCTAGAGATTTGAGTGGCGCCGTGAATATTATTAATGTTTCTCCTGGTCTAAAGGAATAATTTATGATATACCTAACTTAATTAAAATGCATTTAATGAAGGAATATAAAATGTTTAGGTGTAAAGCCACGTTTTCAGAACGTTCTTAGAGAAGTTTAACTGTATAACGAGTTTTTATCCATCGTCGATTTGCGCAGCAGTTAAGCTTAATGCCAATTTAATTTACAGCTAATTGTTTGACCCAAGAGATGTGCCATCATTTGTCATGTTGCGAAATGGAGCCACCTGGGCGATTAATTAATTCTCCGCCAGCGGAGAGGAGCAAACAATTGAAATTCGACACCGCAAGGTGACTGAAAGTCAGCGGAAAGTTCCCAGTGCCAGAATCCTCTGGGCTCGAGGCAATAAAATGGGGAAAAAATAAACTTCAAAGCGGGATAACGAGCCTGGCAAACAAGCCAGACTGCAGCATATTTAATTGCGTACCTTAATGTTTATTTTCAATTAGGGATTCAGTCATGCCGGCACGAGTGCAGTAATTCCGGGGGTACGATGTTGTGCGCCTTTTGGCAATTAGATGACGGGTTAGTCTGGCATCTGCTCGAATGTAGGCGAGCCGTAAAACAGACACCACAACCACTTTCCAACCACCACCACCACCACCACTACGAGCAGAAACAGCAGCAGTGGTAAGAAAAAATAGAAACAAAAACAACACTTATAAAATATCACGCTGCGCCTTTGGGTCTGCTTTCTGCCCAAGGTGAAACCCACCCACCACCTTATGAAAACACCCACCCACCTCGTTACATTCTATCGATTTTTATACCTGGCGAATACGTGTGGGTATTTTTGAATATATTCTCGAAACGGCGGAGCAGTTTGCTGGTTACAAGAACATACGATAAATGGTTTAAATCCTGCATTTTCCTAATTGGATTGCTTCGACCACAGCACATCCACATCAGCCGGTTTTTGGCATGTCCTGCCAGGCACAAAACCCTTTTTTCCTCGCATCCATCTGTCCGTCCATCAGAGGAGGTTTAAATTATATTTCCCTTAAAATATTTCCACTGCCATCGGCAGACAGCCAGCCAGCCAGTCAACCAGTCAGCTTGATGGCTTCATACTGCCGCTGATCCTTTCTGTGCGATATTGACAGCCAGATAGACAGCAGGATACCTGCCAGCCAGCCAGCTAGGTTGTTGTTGTTGTTGTTGCTGCTGCTGTTGGCTGTCAGTGGCAGTTTCTGGATTTGGTCCTTGCCGGGACCGCCAGATTCCCCAGGGCGCAACGTTTGACGGCAGTCGCAGCCACATCCACTTCCACCGGGAATCCTGGGGAATATCCCGCTGCGACAAAGTTTGTTTTGGAGCTGAGGCGGCACAGCAAGTGGCGACCAAAGGTAAACAAGCTATGATGGGTACTCAAAAATTGCGCATGACAGCGGGATTTATCGGGGCAGAAGGTGCAACAACATGAAATGTCACTACATTTTGCAGTGCAACATACTCGTATAACAAAGTTAACGAAAATTGTAAACGATATTTTGACAGAGTAAAATTGACGCAGATTCGGTTTTTAAAAAAATGGTAGCTGTATTTTAGGCAGGCTTATACATGTGCCAGTTGATCCCCGCTCGGGATAAGAATACATAAATAAATTGAATAAAAACGTCATAGTTGTTTGTATAATTTAATTGACAGCGGAACATGTCCCAGTGGATAAGCCACGTGGAACTAAACTTTGATTAATAGTTGCTAGACAATAGATAAATGAACATAAGCAAGCTTATTAATAGTTAATAGATTGTTTAGCCAGCTCATATTTTTGGTAATAAGATCCATAAAAGAAATTTATTACCTTGCTGCTATACAAGTAATTTAAAGTTCTTTAAAGCTGAACATCATTAATATTATTAAAACCCCTTAAACTGTTTATGAAAATCAAATGCCACATGCACATATCCTTTAATTCCCCTCTCCATTTCCCAAAATTGCATTACCTTGCGATTGCTGGTCAAACCAAAGTGAAATGCAGCCTTCATTGGCAATTCATAGAGCCAAGCGAGCATAAACCCCGGAAAATATATACATTTTCAATCCAGCCCGTTCACATTGATTGCATAAGCCCCGGGCAACACTAATTGCGAGTACTTATAGTTGCAATTGATTGCGCTCTTTGTGCCGGAGTCGACAAGTCAGCTGTCAGGTCGTGTGACGTCCAACGACCAAGGACCAAGGACGAAGGACCCCGGAACAAGAAGGGTAACATGAGCTGATGCCTCGTTAGCGTGGATGTTCTGCTTTCAAAGGAGTGGGAGTTGATAAAGGTAAAGAGTTAAGATTCGAAGCTGAAGCGAGTCTGTAATTTCCCAACCGAAACGCAATTTTATCTGCTCACGTTGTGTGGGTGGATTTCCCGTTCCACAAATCAGTATTGAATTACAAGTTAATTTAACTGGACCGGTAAAGTTTTTGGATCATGTTTAACTTTGGAAACTCGCTTATCCCACTACTGAATTTTCCATGAGGGAAACCAAACTAATTGGTAATTAGCGTCCAGGCAACCGTTTTCACGGAATTTTGTATCCATAAATAATCACGCTTGGAAGTTTGTAGGTATTTAACCCGAAAGAACTCAATAAATCACTTCTACCTGAGGTAGTTA